CGGATTACATGAAGTCATGCTCATAAACCGAATAACATGATGCGACATAATGAATGAACTAATTACCAATTAATTATTGATGAAACGCTCATATATTTATAGTTTTCCCTAATTTATGAAGTTTATAATATTTTCTCTACACGTATTTTTTAGTATACAATGCAAATCTTTTTTATTTTAATTATTTACCAAATTTTTTCACTAAAATTCTTCTCTAAATTAATTATTATTTTCAAATAATTTTAATGAAATTCTTCATATAAATTCAATTATCTTAAACTATTTTTCAATTAAAAATTTTATAAAATTCAATAATTGTTTAAAATTATTTTTAAAAAAACCAGTAAATAAAATTACTAAAAATTTCAATTCCAAATCACTTGAAGTTCAATTATTTTCAACAATCGGAATTGTAAATCTTTGAAAATTCAATTAATTTTAAATATTGTTATCTAAAATAATTTGGTAAATTATTTTCAATTCTGAAAAATTTAATCCATTATTTATTATTATAATTAATTAATTATTATAATTTTAGGTATTATTTAATATTATATTTTTTAAAAATTCAAATTAAGAAACAAAAATTAATTTTGAAATTAAAAATTTTTAACGGATTAAATTAAGAAGTGTGCCTTTGAACTGATGATGATAATAATAATAATAATAATAATAATAATATTATGAGAAACAAATTGTCCTGGGAGCTCTCGCTATTGTTCCAATGAATAAAACAATAGAATTATTCCAGATACATATTTAAAAATAATACAAGAACAAGGGAGTAATTGTTAAAACATGGTTTGTTTTATTCAATATAATCACACGTCTCTTTGCTCTATTTAGAGAGAAAAAGAAAGAGAGAAAAATCTTTATGTCAATCTATGTCAAGTATAACTGGAAAAGGAAAAGTTTGAGTCACACTTTAAATGTACCATGTCTGATTATGGTTAAACATTAATTTTCAGTGGTAGAGTCAAGCAACTTAATCTTTTCTTTTTTTTATATTCTTTTCTTAAAAACAAAACGTGTATAATCTTTTATTGATTTTCAAACTATGAGAAAAAAAAGGAAAAGAATAGTAATTATTCATATTCAAAATTAGAAAAATATAAATGAATTTCAGTTAATAAATTAAATTATTTTTTTTATTTATTTTTATAATTGAACTTGACATTCATACTTCCTTGTTGTTATATATATATTATAGGGCATTCCACGGAAATTTTCATTCAAAAAATTTTTTTTGCCAGAAACATTTTTTTTTTTAAATCTATATGAAAAGTAAGAAAATACGTATTTTTTATTTTTGGCTTCGAAGTGACACACTTTTTTTCAACAAGGCTACTTTTTTACTACTAATTTTGGCCAAATGACACAAAATGCTACTTTTTAAAAAAAAATAATTTTAAAAATGAGAGAATTCAAGAATTTTAAATTTTAGCAAATTTTTTTTATTGCTAAAAGCTCGCCAATCTGATGATTTATTATTAGCCGCATGAACTACTGCTTTATATAATTATTTTTTACACGAATTTTCATTATTCAAAATTGGATTTAACATAATTTCTTTTTAAACGACCTTTTACTCAATAGAATTTTTAATTTATCAAATTTTTTTTGACAGAATTTTTATTTTACAAAATTTCTCTTTACCCAACTGTTTTTTTTTTAAATAATTCTAATTTAACCGAAATTCAGACAATAATTGACTTTTAGGGTATTTTGAATTGAAAAATGTTTTGAATAATTGAAATGCCAAGATCTTGATAGTTATTAGAAATAATTATTTCAAAAAAAAATTTGAATCTAAATTTTTAATAATAATTGAATTTTAAGAGAATTTGAATTAAAATTTTAATAAATTAGAATTGCTATGAAAATTATTAACAAAGTTTCAAACAATAATTAAATTTTACAGAATTTTGAATTAAAAAATTTTTTTATTTAATTGAATTTTTGAATAATTGGATAATATTGATTGAAATTGTTAATTTAGCAAAGAATTTTAGATACTAATTTTAGAAATAATTGAATTTTAGAAGAGTTTGAGTTAAGTTTTTTTTCCGATTCCAAGTTGTAGAATTTAAAAATTCGAATTACTTAAAATTCTACTGAATGAGAATTCTAATAAATTAAAAATAGGTTAAATTAGAATTTTTTTCAAGAAACAGTTGGGTAAAGAGAAATTTTTTAAAATAAAACTTATTTTTCATATATATATATAGATTTCGAAAAAAAATATTTTGGTCAAAAAAAATTTTTTAATGAAAATTTCCCGTGGAATGCTTTATAGATTTTTTTTTGTTATCGAATGTAAATAAAATAAAAAGAAAATGTAAAAGTCTTTGATTTAAAGAATTAAGAAAGTGAAAACCTGATATAAAATCCTAATATCTTGCTATACTATGAGAATAAAATTTCTGTTTTTAGATGAGTTGATCTGTTTCGAATTGCCGTAAACCATTTTCACTCTTGCATAATATTTCCTTTCGAAGAAGAGAATTTTTTTTTTATAATCCGTTTATATACTGTAAATCGATTATCGTTTTCAGCAGGAGTGAGTGACTTCATTCACGTGGAATGCTGCCTTTTGTTATTTCTCAAGCCTTCACATTAGTAATCATTTTTTTTTTCATGATCATCATCAAGGAAGTTCCTCTTGCTTCATTATATATATATATTATATATTGTAAAGTTGACACTTTTCTTGTTCTCTGGCCCAGATATATCAAATTACAATTCACGCAACTATTTTTCCGAGAGAGCTGCATTTTTCCCATGTCTGAAACATTTTTTTTTTTTTTCAATTTAATTATTAATTACAAAATGCAATTATAACGGTTTTTTTTAATAATATTATTTTAGAAAATAGGTAATTAATAAACAAATAAATAATAATTAATTTAATAATGAAATAAGAAATTAATTGTCAAATATAGGAATTAAATAAATAATTAATAATTTCTTAATTCTTGAAATAATAAATTAACAATTAAATAATAAACTAATTGTTTTTTTTTTTAATTTTTGACATTAAATTATTTAATAATAATAAAAAAAAATTTTTCATTTAATTATTATTAAAAATTAATAATAACAATAATAAAAAAAAAATAATAATAATATTTTAAAAAAATGAAATCTCTCTGTTTTAATGAAAAAAATGTTGCATTACGACTTCAATAAAAATTGTACGGTCATTGACTTTAAAAATTACAGGTGCAAGCAATAATAACTCATTACTCAGATCTTGGAATAAATAATGAATCATTGTTGGAAAAAAAGCAAGTGAATATACTTTGAATCGATTTTGTTGCATATTAGATATAACATTTATAGATCGGAATTCAAAGTTTATTCAACTAGAATATTTTAAAATATTTATTTATTTCTATATTTGGAATTATTAAAAATTTTCAAGTGCAAATATTTAAAAAAAAAAAATTCTTTAATTAAACAACTTTTTTTTCTCTGTGACATAAAAAAATTAAATTTTTAAAATATTTTTCCAAAATTGTTGATTCTATTTTTGTTTAAATTTTATAAATGAAATAAATGAAATATTAAAACTAAAAAAATGGTTTCTTTTTGTATATTAATATCGAAGAAATTATATTTTTTTTTAATTTTCAAGTAATTGCGATAAAGCACTTGTTGCTTCCTTCTCGTTTATGATTTAGTCTTTGAAATCGTTTGTTGAGAGTGTAAACGTGGCAGCACTTCAGTAGAAGTGTCCTTTCAAGAAAAGACATCGTGTGTACCTCTGAATATATTATAATAGAGAGAGAGCGAGTGCAACCCTTGCAGACTCTTATTGCCATAAGTGTCGAGTGCTTTTCTCCTGCACTATATAATAAAAAAAAATTTTTTTTTTACCGCAATCATTTTTTCCATTCTTTCGCTTTATTTCTTTATCAAAGTTGTAAAATTGCTTGCAATAAATGATAAACGTTACCTTGTTTTGTGTTAAGGCTTAAAAATAAGTCATACGTCAACAAATATAAATGAGAATATATTTTTACTTATAAAAAAAAAATAAATAAATAAATAAATGTACTTTTGTCAAAAGTTTCGTATTATTTTTTCAAATTATTTGAAATTTTTTTAAATAAAATAAAAAAAATTACCTACATTTATTTTACTATTTTTCTAAAATTATTATTTCCTTTTTCACTATTCTAAAATATTTTTTATTACAAAAATTTTACAATTAAATAATTTTAATTTTAACGATGGCGAAAAGAAAATTTTTGTTACAAATTTATTATTTAACGTTTTGTTTATTAATAATTTTTTACTATTTTAAAAATCGATTATGTAGTTTTGTTTTTTTTTTTTTATTATTCGCACAAAAAATGGTGTTATTATCAAATAAAAATTTAATTATGAATAAAAAATATCTTGAATCAAATTTATTACAAATTGCAATTTTGAAAGTAAAATTTTCTATACAGAAAAATAATTATTATTATTTGTTGTAGGTATTTATTTTTGAAAATTAGCTATTGTTAGTATTAATAGTTATTATTATTATTATTATTATTATTATTATTACTCGTTTGTAAATTTAAATAAATAAATTATTTTTATTATTATTATTTCTATTATTTATTTATTTAGGAAATATTACTTACTAAAGATATTTAAAAAAAAAAAATTAAAAATACTTTTTTGTAGGAAAATTATTAAATCAGTTAAAGCGATTAATTTTCAAGAAGAACAATGTTTGAGGTTTTTTTTAACAACTTAAGAAGTTCTGATGATCCTGCAACATCAGAACAGTGCCGTTAGTCGACCGAATTCGCATCGCCAAACTTCCTTGATCAATAAATTATTCTCTTTTCAAGTTTTTAATCTATTTTATTAAAAACAATTTTTTTAAACAATAATAATAATAATAGTAATAATAATAAATAATTCAATTAATATATAATTAAATAATATTAAATAGATATTGAAAATCTAATTTACGTTCAATTTTTTTTTTTTTTTTGCAGATCCTTCAACTACCGGCATCATGTCGAATCCTGTTAGTCCATCCTTGAAAAATCTACCCAAAGTAGCGGTTAATCTGAAGACTCAATTAGAAGGCTTCGATCACACATGTATGAAAAAAGCATCCACGACAGAAAAAAATGTTCTGCCTTCTGCAAAGGGTATGTATATATATATGGGGCATTCCACGTCAACGAGAGACCCCCCGCCCCCAGAATAGATTTAAATGAAAAAATTTCAAATACGGCTTAAAATTTAGGTAATTACATCTACTTTAAAATGCAAAGTGGCAAAATAAAAAATTCAAGATGGCGGATCCAATATGGTGAAAAAAGTAAAAAAAAATGCTTGAATTCACTTGAAATTTGTTACTCGGGGGTTTTTAGGGTCGCTAAACACAAATATGAAATCAGATTTTTAATATTAAAAATGGCGGATCCAATATGGTGGCCGATTTTTAAAAATTTTAACAAATTTCAATAAAACGTATCTTATGGTGCTTTGTAGGGTTGTAAAAAGTTCTAAAGGTTTTAAATTGAATTAGAAATTTAGGTAATTACTCCTACTTTAAAATGCTAAGTGTGAAAATAAAAAATTCAAGATGGCGGATCCAATATGGTGAAAGAAGTAACAAAAAAAAGCTATAATTCAATTGAAATTTGTCACTCAGGGGTTTTTAGGGTCGCTGAACACTAATCTGACATCAGATTTTAAATATTCAAAATGGCGGATCCAATATGGCGACCGATTTTTAAAAACCGAAACAAATTTAAATAAAAATTGGATTACGAGAGTTCGTAGGGTTGTAAGAAGTTCCAAAGGTTTTTTATTGAGATAGAAATTTAGGTAATTAGACATACTTTAAAATAAAAAATGGCCAAACACAGATTTCATAATGGTGAACCTAATATGACAGAAGAAGTAAAAAAAAATCTTCAATTCAATTGAAATTTGTCCCTCGGGACTAAGATAAATAGGCCTTACTTTTACTAGTTGGATTTTTACCTTTTCCTACTTTAACTAGTTGGATTTTTACCCTTTCTTACTTTAACTAGTTGGAACCTAAATTGATCTTGCCTTAATCGGTTGGACTCTTTATGTCTTACTTTCACTAGTTGGATTTTTATCCTTTCTTACTTTTACTAGTTGGAACCTAAATTGGTCTTGCCTTAATTGGTTGGACTCTATATGTCTCACTTTCACTAGTTGGATTTTACCCTTTCTTACTTTTACTAGTTGGAACCTATGTCTTACTTTTACTAGTTGGATTATTACCCATTTTGAATATTTAAAATCTGATGTCAGATTAGTGTTCAGCGACCCTAAAAACCCCTGAGTGACAAATTTCAATTGAATTATATCTTTTTTTGTTACTTCTTTCACCATATTGGATCCGCCATCTTGAATTTTTATTTTGACACTTAACATTTTAAAGTAGGAGTAATTACCTAAATTTCAAATTCAATTTAAAACCTTTAGAACTTTTTACAACCCTACAAAGCACCATAAGATACGTTTTATTGAAATTTGTTAAAATTTTTAAAAATCGGCCACCATATTGGATCCGCCATTTTTAATATTAAAAATCTGATTTCATATTTATGTTTAGCGACCCTAAAAACCCCCGAGTAACAAATTTCAAGTGAATTCAAGCATTTTTTTTTTACTTTTTTCACCATATTGGATCCGCCATCTTGAATTTTTTATTTTGCCACTTTGCATTTTAAAGTAGATGTAATTACCTAAATTTTAAGCCGTATTTGAACTTTTTTCATTTAAATCTATTCTGGGGGCGGGGGGTCTCTCGTTGACGTGGAATGCCCCATATATATATATATATATATCTGAAATTAATGTTTCATTTTATTAAATATGAAATAGACAAAAAATTTTTTTTTTTTTTTAATTCATTTTATTATTCTAATTTTGTTTATTAATTAATTTGTTATTTACTTTTTAAAATTTAGTAAATTTATTTATTATTATATTATTTTTATATAAATTTTATTTATAATTTATTTAATAATTTAGAAACAAATAAAATAATAATTAAATCGAATAATTAGAATTAATTTTTTTTTTAAATTTCAGATGTGGCCGTGGAGAAAAATCAACAAATCTTAATCGCTGGAATTGAAACGTTTGACCCCACTAAGTTGAAGCATACGACGACTCAAGAGAAAAATCCACTTCCCGATAAGGAAGGTAAATTAATAATTATCCTTTAAATTTATTTTACATAACATATTTTTCCTTTTTTTTTTTTTAGCAATCAATCCCTTCACAATTTGAGAATTAGTTTGTAAATTATATGTATTGTTTCGAAAAAACTGAAAGAAAAAAATAAATTAGAAAATTTAAACAATAAAATTAGAATAATTCAATTAGAATTAATTCGTAATTTAATGATTAAATAAAAAAATTTCGATGTGATAATTTTTAATATAAAAATTAATAATAATAATATTATTTTCTAGTAATCCAACAAGAAAAAGGAAAGCAGGAGCTCATCTCTGGAATTGAAAATTTCAATCCTGCAAAACTAAAGCATGCAGTGACCCAAGAAAAAAATGTCCTCCCAACCAAAGAAGGTTAGTTGAATCTTTTTTTTTCAAATAATTAATAAAATACAAAATAAATAAATAATAGCGAATTTACTAAGAATATTCCATAATTTTTATAAGAATTATCTTAATTTAAAAAAATAATTTTATATTAATAAAAATTAATTAATACATATTTGCAAAATTTTTTTAATAATTTATTCTCTTTTTTCTCTCTTTTTCAGCAATTGCTGCTGAAAAAGTTTCTGCATAAAGTGAAATTTGGTACTACAAAAACAACCATCAGAGGAGAGACTTGTGATTTCGCTACTTTTATATATCGTATTATATAATATTTTATATTAATTACCGACGATATAAAATAGGCGAGCATCCTAACGTTAATATTAATCTTATGAATTACAATTTAAAAACTAGCATCTTATGCTTTATTTCGCGCGAATCATAATTATATAATAATAATAATAATTGCAAGTCGAAGTCCTACAATTCGACGAATCCTAAGCAAAAAAAAAAAAAAAATGTGTCAATGAGATTTCTATAAGTTGGCATTAATTTTTTCCTTAATATGATAATAAGCGAGAAAAAAAGACAATTTTAGATTCGATATAGTTTATTTTTGCATCTTAAATATTGTAATTTGTCGCGAACATTATTTTGTTCATATTTACCTAAATGCTGATTAAGCAATGAAGAAAAAAAAAACCCGAAACGCAATATTATTGTGCAAGTGTGCATATTATTTTTCAATGAAACAATTTTTTATAACAAAAAAAAAAATATGAATAGCAATAACTTAACAAAGATGCAAAACTGTCAAAATGTTTGTTAAAAAAAACAACAGTATTTTATATATATATTGGGCTATTTGTATACTTTTTTAACATTCATACAATGAATTTTTCAAATACGATTAGGAGATACAATAAACAAACATTTTTACGCACTTCCCGTCTATTTTATTCTCAAACTATTATAAATTTTCAGGCTATTTTTTTTCTATTCCAAAAGCAACAAAATTATATAAATTTGTGTTTTTTAATTTAAATTAAATTTTCTAATTAAAAAAAAAAAATTTACATTAATCACAAAATAGTCATAACAAATTATAGTTTTTTCAATATACTTTTATAATTTTTTTAAAAGAATTTTTTTCGTCATTTCTTTTTAAAATAAAAATGTCAAAAAATTTCAAAATAACATTTTGTATTTAAAGATTATTTTTTAAAAAAAAAGTTTATTTTCTGTTTCTGCAGATGAAAAATTATTATTATTTTATATATTTTTTTAATAATAAAACTAATTTAGCATTAATTAAATAATTTAGTGCAAAATTAATCTCCAATTACGAAAATAATAGTTAATTTTGACACAAATTGCAAATATTAATAAATTGATAATAAAAAAAGAAAGAGTAAATAAATAAAATTAAACAATTATAATTAAAAAATAGTTCAACAGGTAAATTAATAATTAATTAAATTAATTTAATTTAATTATATATTTTTAAAAAATTTAATAATTAATAATATTAATAAATAAAATAAAGATTTTAGAGCATTTTTTTTCATAAACAGTTAATTTTTAAAATTATATTAAAATTATTAATAAAATATTAATTTAATTTATAATTAAAAATATATATATATAATTATTATAAAGTAAAAATGTTCAAATTTTATTTAGCAAATAAATAATAAAAAAAACAATTGTTAATTATTATTACAATAAATTCCATGAAAAATTTTATGAAATGTAAAATTAATTAAAATAATTAGAATAATTTAACAGAAATTATTTGTTTAAAAAATTTAATAAATTTCTTTGGAGAAATTAAATTTTTTTCCTTTTTCAAATTTATGAATGAACCTTTAAAATTTATTCTTCAATTATATTTAATGGACGAATTTTTTAAATAAAACTAATACTTTTTTATTATAATGAAAATGTAAAATTTTTGTCAAAAAAATTATTCTTTTGTATCTTAATTTTCACAATTTTTGTAAATCACATTTTTTCCAAATAGAAATTAAAGAAATATATATATATATATATATAAAGGTTTCATAATCTTCGTTATGTGAGCGAAAACATTTTATAAGCAAAGATTATTTTTCCTGTCAATTTGCCACAATTGTTTAAAATAAAAAAAATCGTCAATTTCAATTTGATTATTATAAACATTTGTGAAATATTATTTCAATTATTGGAAAATTAATTTTAATTACAAGAGGAACTAATTTATCATTATACGCACCTGAAATTTGAAGATTTGTTTTCTTTTCTCTGCTTTGTTTACATTTTGCGTCGATTAAACTGCGATAGGTCATACAGGACAAAGAATATACAAAGCACCATCACAATTTGAGAAATGAAAATTTTAGAATACTTATACATTACGTTTGAAAAATAAAAGAAATAAGATCTTTTATATTCTTTATACATCTTCTATAACAATCAAATAAAATATTGCAAGCTCAAGTGTTTAATGTGAAGTTAGCGATAATCAGATTTTTATCGATTTCGCCCCTTTAAGTCGATTTATTGTTGGCAAAATTCAGGGTAGAAAAAAAAACGGTTGTCTTCAATTTTCGTCTGCCATGTGCCATTATATGTTCATCACTCTTTGAAGACGCGTCACACCTGTGCAGTTCGCTATATTTTACTTTAGTTACAATAACTTCAGTCAAATAATGAAGTATCACTTTTAACTTTCAAGTCTTACATTATTTTGGAATTTAAAAGTCAGGTGAGTGAACATAAGTTTCTTTTTTCTTCTCACACACACACATATATATATATATGAAAGAAATGAATAAACACGTGCAACAATTTAATGATGCCGATTGTCGACCACGTGTGAATATATATTATTTTGTCGTCAATCAGGCAATATTATAAATTGTTTTATTGCACAGTTTTGCCATTTATATAAATACAATTGACCGATAAAATATAATTTAACTTATATTTTCATATTTTTGATACGGGAAACGGTCTTGGAGAAAATATATTTTAAAAAAAAGTAGTGTTTGAATCTTGCGGCGTTTCTATAAATGTAGCTTCAATTCTCAATTGCGTATTAGAACTTTCTTTTGTTACAAATGATTTTCATTGTTCTTTCATGTTATCGAATTGTTGATAATCAACAATTGTTTACAAATATATTGATTTAGTGAATTTTGTGTGAAAAAGTGAATTTGTCAAAAGAAGGATTGAATTCGAGTTGAAAATTATTAATTATTGCATTTGAGATGAGTCATCATGCTTTCAGAGACGCCAAAGAATTTTCTTTTTGAAGCGTAATTATTTTATTAATTAATTAAGTTCTTTTTTAATTTTTTTTTATTGAATTAATTTTTCTTTAATTGAATTAATTTTTTTTTTTTTTATAAAAATAAATTTATATGTTGAAGTGTATAAAAGAAAAAGTAAAAAAAGAAATGGAAGGCTCACCAAGAAAACTATCTAAACGTCCGGCTGAGCCGATAGATGATTGGTTAGAAAGCCAAGGATACTTTAGAAAACATGCACCAAAAGATCCAACATGTTTGTTCAGAGCAATTAGTGAACAAATTTATTCAACACAACATTTTCATATTCGTGTGAGACGCGAATGTATAAATTTTATGAAAAAGCATAAAGATTTATTTAAAAAGGTATTATTATTATTATTATTATTATTATTATAATTATTTAAAACTCATTTTTATATATATATATATACAGGTCTCGGATTATACAATTTTTCCGACTTTTTTTTTTTTACATTTTTTTTTTTAAATAAAATACATTTTTTTCAGTATACAATGCAGATCTTCAGTTTTTTTTTTATTTCAATTATTTATCAAATTTTTAACTACAATTCTTTTCTAAATTAATTATTTTCCTTAATTTTAATGAAAATTTTTACAAATTCAATTATCTTAAACTATTTTTCAATTAAAAAATTTATGAAATTCTATAATTGTTTAAAATTAAGAAAAAAAAATAATTACCAAATAATATTACCAAAAATTTTAATTCAAAATCACTTGAAATTCAATTATTTTCAAAATTTTGAATTGTAAATCTTTGAAAATTCAATTATTTTCAAAATTTTGAATTGTTAATCTTTAAAAATTCAATTACTTTTTAAAAATGTGAAAAATTATTTGCTAAATTATTTTCAATTCTTTAAAATTTAATTATTATCTAAAATTTAACAAAATCTTTTGAAATTCAATTATTTTTAATAATTTTAATATTTAATAAAAAATTCAATTATTTAAAAAAAGTTTTAAATAAAAACTAAAAATTATTTTCAATAATTTGAATGAAATTCTTTACAAATTCAATAATCTTAAATTATTTTCAATTCAATTATTTTTAAAAAAAAGTTTATCTAAAATTATTTGATAAATTAATTTGAATTGTATAAAATTTTACAAAATCTTTTGAAATTCAATTATAATTGAATATCAAAAGATTTTGGAAATATATATTTTCAAAAAATTTCAACTGTAACTCTTCCAAAATTCAATTATTATTTGTAATAATTTTAATATTTCTTTGAAAATTCAATTATTTTAAAAAATGTTAACTTAATTAATTTCTGAAATTTTTTTATTCAACCATTAAAACAAAAAATTTTGAAATTCAAATTATTTGCTTAAAAATCAGACTTTAAAAATTTTTTTTTAGAAATTTCTTCTACTTAATTAAAATTTTGATAATTTGTCTTAGTTCGGTTTTGAAATATTCGAAAAAATTTTTCTTGATAATATTATGGTAAAATTCTTCCATAATATTATCAAGAAAATTTAATTATAATTAATAATAATAATGAAATAATACAAAAATATAATAATTATTATGTTTATTATTATTATTATTATTATTATTATTATTATTATTATTATCTTTATCTTATTATATTTATTTTATTATATTTATTATTATTAATTTATTCTTATTAAGGAATGAAAAAGTAAATTAAATACAATAACATTAGATATTGAAAGTAAAATATTTATTAACTAATTAAATTTAATTAAATTAAAAAATCGTCTTTTTCGACTGCAATTTATTTCAAATTTGAAATCTGCAATTGAATTATTTAAAAAAAAAATTTAATTTTAAAATCTGTAAAACTTAATTATTTTTCCGAAATTTTTTTAACTATTAAAACTAAAATCTATGTCAAAATTTTATATTCGAATAAATTTCTTAATTAATTTCAAAAAAAAAAAAAAAATTTTAATGGAATTTAATGTCTAATAACATTAATTTTATTTAAAGTAATAATTATTTAATTAAAATAAAATCTACTTTTTTTGAAAACAATATTTTTGCACCTTAAAGTCGATCCGAGGCCTATTTATATTTATAAAAAAAAAAAAAAAAGAAAAATATAAACTCAAATTTCAAAAAAAAAATCCCTTTGCAGAAAATAAATGTTCCCTTTGACGGCTATATTGATCAAATGGCATGTTTCACCGAATGGGGTGGAATACATGAAATTGAAGCAATGTCAGAATTGTATCAAAGGGAAATTATTATTTTTGATGGTCAAACGATGACGAGAAAAATTGTCAACAATAATTATGGTTATAAAAATCATATTACACTTTGTTATACTGCACAAAAGCAGTACGAAAGTGTTTATACAAAAGAATATATAAAAACGGCTGGTTTCTGTCAGTGTATGTTTTAACAAAAAATTTTATGTATTTTTTTAAATTTTATAGGGTCAGTTGGGGTAAATGGGAACAAGAGGTTTTGGAGTTTAATTTACAGTTTTAAAATTAAGTTCAACGTTAATATTTTAACCTCAAATCACCTGCAAGAGGTTTTGAGTATTGCCAAGCTTTTATCTTGACGCAATTGGCAGCAAGATAAAAAAAAAGTTATCGCTCAATGCATAAAAACTTGAAAATCAAAGTCAAACTGTTTCAGTATTTTGTCGAGCATTTGAAAAAAAAACAGACTTAAAAATCATACCAAATTTTTTTCTTATTCCTTATGACTCCTATAACAGAAATTCACTTGAATTTTTGATTTTTATCAATTTGGTTAATAATGACAAGCTGTCCCCATTTACCCTGAGTTTTCAAATTTTTGGGGTAAATGGAGACAGCTTGTCATTATTAACCAAACTAACAAAAATAAAAAATTCAAGTGAATTTCTGTTATAGGAGTCATAAGGAATAAGAAAAAAATTTGGTATGATTTTTAAGTCTGTTTTTTTCAAATGCAATTCAAAATACTGAAATAAAAAAAAAAAAATAAAAAAATTTCAATTGGTTCAACTATTATATATCTACTACAAATTTTTTTCAAGTTTTTTCATCCCTTAATACAGTAATATACTTAAGGAAACTTTTTTCTTAAAACTTTCTTAGAAACTATACTGTCCCCATTTACTCTAAATTTTATGAAATTTTCTAAATTTAAGGGTAAATGGGTTCAGTCAGTTTCATGCGTTTAAAGCTTATCTAAATTTTTTTCTGCTACATAAAATTAATTCTGGGAATGTAAATAACAACTTAAAAAAAAATCCCGCAAATATTACCTTTTAAAGGAAGAAACTTACGTAATATGTGAAAAATAGCGATTTTGTCCCCATTTACCCCAACTGACCCTATTTTTTTTTTTTTTTTTTGGTTTTAAAAAATTTTTACTGAATGGTTTTTTTTTTTTTTTTTTTTTTTAATTTTTCATTTTATAGCACTGGTTTATAAAACCTTATACAAAGAAGTCTTCCAGATGCCAAATGTTGACGAAACTGTTTACAAAATGTTACACGATAGACCATTTCCGTTAAAATATGAAAAATTCTCTCCAAAGGGAATTGCAGAACATAGAGAGTAAGTTGCGCGTAATATTTGTCTAAATTACCTTTTTTTTTGGAGAGAAATTTAAGGCAATACACCTGTGCGACAGTCTCTAAATATATGTGAAAAAAAAGAAAAAATTCTTTCGGAAAATTGAATGAAACTGAAGTTATTAACGTTGAATCAACGAAAAAATAAAATTTAAACATTCTAATTCCAATCAATGAAATTTGATTATTTTCAACCCTCTGAAATTTGAAATAAAAAAAAAAAACAATATTTATCATTGTTTTGTCCCGGATTTTCCGAAAATTTCAAATAATTTTGAAATTTCCTCGCCTTGGAAGCAATTTTTCGCGTTTGATAATTATGTATTTCAATGCTAAAATCGTTTTAAAACACAGGAAAATTGCTTCCAAATCGGAAAAAGCAGTGATTTTGATTTTTTTGTCACGGATTTTCCGAAAATCCCGAAATTTCAAAAAAAATTTCTATTTCCCCGACTTGGAAGCAAATTTTCATTTTTTTAAAAGGCTTCTAGCATTGAAATAAATAATTATCAAAGAAGAAAAATTGCTTCTGAGGCGAGAAAATAGCAATTTACTTGAAATCCGTGACAAAAAAATCAAAATCACTGCTTTCCCCGACTTGGAAGCAATTTTCCTGTGATTTAAAACGATTCTAGCATTGAAATACATAATTATCAAACGCGAAAAATTGCTTCCGAGGCGAGGAAATATCAAAATTATTTGAAATTTTGAAATTTTCGGAAAATCCTGGACAAAAAATTCAAAATCACTGCTTTCCCCGACTTGGAAGCAATTTTTCTGTTTTTTAAAAGGCTTTTAGCATTGAAGTAAATAATTATCAAACGATAAAAATTTCTTCCGACGTGGGGAAATAATAATTTTCTTGAAATTTTGGGGTTTGCGAAAAATCCGTGACAAAACAATGATAAATATTGTTTTCCCCGCCTCGGAAGCAATTTTTCTGTTTTTTAAAATTCTTCTAGCATTGAAACAAATAATTATCAAACGAGAAAAGTTGCTTCCGAGGCAAGGAAATAGCAATTTACTTGAAATTTCGAGATTTTCGGAAAATCCGTGACAAAAAAATCAAAATCACTGCTTTCTCTGATTTGGAAGCAATTTTCCTGTGTTTTAAAACGATTTTAGCATTGAAATACATAATTATCAAACGCGAAAAATTGCTTCCGAGGCGAGGAAATATCAAAATTATTTGAAATTTTCGGAAAATCCGGGACAAAACAATGATAAATATTGTTTTTTTTATTTCAAATTTCAGAGGGTTGAAAATAATCAAATTTAATTGAGTGCAATTAGAATCTTTAAATTTTATTTTTTCGTTGAATCAACGTTGGTAACTTCAGTTTCATTCAATAGATTACGTTGAGAAATAAAAGAGGATTTTTTTTTTTTGAATTTGTTAAATAAAATTTCAATTTTCATTGTAGTAAAATACTATCGCGCCCGGTACTTCCTTAATTTTCCAAATTAATTTCTTTTAAATTTTAATAATTATAGAAAATTGGTCTTTTATTTAGAAATTCAGCAATTGTAATGCTTAATAAAGTAAATGATGGCTGTACGGAAAGTGAAGACATTTTTTGTCTTAAAGGCACTCCGTTCCCTTATCGAGTGGCCAAGGCTCTTGATGAAGATATTTTTCGTAATACAGACTTTGACATCTGGCACGAAATTCGTCGCGGTATGGCATTTTTTTTTTTTTTTTCATTCCAATTCTAACAATTTTTTTCCCCTATTTTTAATGATTTTATATTTTTATATTTAGTTTTATTTTAATATTTATTTAATATTTATTATTAAATATGTAATTTTGTTATTTGATTTATACTTTCTTTTTTGTTTTTTTTGTTTGTTTTTTTTTTTTTTTTAATATTGTACAGAAGTGCGAAACTCGGGATTTTCAAAGTACAATGGTACTGAATTTCAAGTAGGAGGGAAATGTTTGGTCGAAATAAATATGAAAGTGGATGATTTGACAAATAACAACGATTTAAATACCACTGACAAAAAAATTCATATTAATTGTGACGAAGCGTGTGGTAATACTGAAAAATTTTTAACTGGTCACATACAAGAAATGAGTAAAAATGAGGGACCAGTTGTTGTTTTTATTCTTGAACTCGGAGAAAAACGGACTGTTCCCTATTCGGCGCTCAAACCATTTAACATGAAAAGAACTAAAGCAAATATATTAACAATTCCAAAAAAAAATCCAGCCGTTGACCCAAGTCAGTTTTTCATTTTCTCCTTCAATTGTATTTTATTTTTTTTTTTTACTAAATTATTATTTTATTCTTTATTATTATTATTATTTTGTTCTTACTTTTTTATTTTATAATTATTATTATTATCTTTGTTGTTCAGGTGCTTTAAAGATAAAAAAGCCATTTAGTTCAACTAGAAGGAGTAAAGAAATTTCAACGTTTGAGCGAAATTCCAACAAGGGATCTTGCAACAAAAGAAACGTTGAAACTGGTACAATGAAGTGGACTGCAGAATCGAGGTGAATTTTTTTTTTTTTTTTTTTTAAGAAATTATAATAATATAATAAATTCTTCAATATATTATCTTAAGAATCTTTAGACTTTAATGATTAATTAAAAATTAAAAATTAATGAAAAAAAAGTAAAATTAATAAAGAATTGGGAATAAAAATAAAATATTTATAACAAATAAAAATATAATAATAGAGAAATAATAAAATATAAAAAAAATTTATATACTTTTTATTTGTATAAAAATATAATTATAATTTTAATAATATTATTGATTTGAAATAAAGATTTTTTACGTATAATTAATTTTTTTTTCTCAGTGAGAATAAAGCTGCTTTTGTAAAGTCCTGTGTGGAGAATTATAATCCACCAGTTGAGGATTTTACTGCTGATGTAAGTTGAGAATGTTTTTTTTTTTTTTTATTTAAAAAATGAAATCTTCAATTTGCGACTTTTTTTTCAAAATTGAAGTTTATTAAAAAAAATTTTTTTAACTGATTTTTATTTGTGTAGCTTGACGTTCCCGTGGAGAGGGAGAAAAACACCACAACCACCATTACAACCACCACAAACACCACTAGTCCTTCAATTGCAAATGAGGAGAATATGAAAAAGTTGTGTTTATCAAATCCTGTAATTGCAAACGGTTCAGAGAATAATTATCAATTTCAACCGCCACAACAGAATGTGACATTTTTCATTCCTCCGGCAGGTGAATATACGAAAATTTTGAATTGAAAGCTTAAATTTATCAAAAAATTTTCATTATTTTAAAAATTATTTAGAACAAAATTTCAATTCATCTAAATTAAAATTGATAAAAAAATTTTCATTTTAATTAAATTTTATTCGATTCAAATTTTTATTGATCATAAATTTCAATTAAATCTAAATATTAATTTCAAATTGATCAAATTTTTAATCAATTCTAATTTTTATTGGTTAAAATCCAATTAATTAATTAAAATTTTAATAAAAAATGCAAATTCAATCGATTGAAACTTAAATCTAACGAAATTTCCATCTATCTAATAATTAATCGTTTTTGAGTTTCAAATTATCTGAATTTTAATTTATTCAAATTTTAAATTTATTAAAAATTCAAATCATACGGATTTTGCTATTTGTTCAAATTTTAATTGACTTACGTTTAAAATTATCCAAATTTTAATGATTTTAAATTTTCTGAATTTTTAATTGATTTAAATTTTTAGTTGATTTAGATTTCAATTTATCCAAAATTAAATTTCAGGCAATTTTAAATTGAGAATTCTGGTAAATTTACAACTCGTGAATTTTTTTTACATTTTTTTTTTTTTTTTTAAATAATTATATATGAGACAATTTTTTATTATAAATTTTTTAAATAATTAAATATTTGAAAAACTATTAAAATTGTTAAAAATTATTGATTTGTCGAAGAATTTTAGAATTAATTTGAAATGAATTGATTTTTTTTTATTTATTTAGAGAATAACAATTTTCAACAAATTGTACCGCCCTGTGTAAACGATGTACTTCCGAATGTTGATTTTCTTTTGGATCAAGCGGATCATCCAATTAATATGTCAGCGGCAAAGAGCATTGATGTTAATGGCAGTGATTTGCCACTAAGTGGTAATGTTGAAATAATTTAAAAAGTAAGAAAAATTTATTAATTTAAAAGAAATAAGAATATTATTTTTTTTTCTTCACAGATCTTCAAACTTTAAGATTCTTTTACAATCTAGGAATTCAGGTACATTTGATATTCTAAATAATTAAAAATATAACTTCATTCATTTAATTCTTGTTTTCTTTTTATAATAACAATGTAAAATATTTTTTGTTCTATTTAAATATTTTATTTTTTTTTTTTGTTTTCAAAAACAGTATCTGAATGCGGCAAACTATTTATGCAGCGTCAATCATCCTCCACCTATTAATGGACAATTTAATAATTTTCCTATGGAAAATTCTCCTGAGCAGAAACCGAACAATATACCAGGTTAATTTTCTTTATAATTTAATAATAATATAATTATTTTTTTTTAATATAATAATTGTTTTTCATTGTTAATGAATTAATACCATCAATTTTTAAATTTCGTAAAAAATTTGTTGAATTTTGAAAAAAAAAATGGAAGAATTTTTAATTTGGAGAGAACATTGAATTTAAATAAAAAAAAAAATTACAATAATTTTTTTTTCCTCAAAAGGATCTCAAGAGGATGTTAATCAAGTGACTCACATGCAGCCAAAATATGGTTTTCGAGCAAAAAAAGAGAATGGAGAAAATGGATTTAAATCAACGTTTAATAATAATTATAAAACGTTGAAAAATTCAAACGTACGATTTAATGGAACGCAGGAACCTCTTGTACCAAATAACACACAAAGAAATCCAAAAGATTGCAATAAAAATGCACAATATTGCAATAACGAAAGAAGCCGCGAACATATTAATGAATCGAAGGACGTAACTCGCACTCCACGTAACGGTGTGGCACCACGCTTCAAAAAATGCATTGACGGTGAGTAATATATTAATTTTGAATTTTCATTTTAATTATTCTTTTTGTTAATCATTTCATTTTATAAGCATAACGAAATTTTTTATTCTATTAACCAGAATTCTAATTTTTGTTGAAAAATGTTTTAAACTATTTAGTCGTGTTGTGAAAATTTCAGGACGAAATCGTAATTTTGTTCAACCATCAAGGCGCAATCAACAACGAGAAGGTGAATTTCATCAAGGTAACAATCGATTCCCAGGATCAAAAATCGAGGGACAAGGAAAGCAATTTGAAAGAAACAGTGGTTCACCAGGAAATCGACAAAATCAATATCCCCATCAGGTACAATTGCCAATGAATAATCCACAATATCAATATGCACCACATCAACCTTCCATCTATCCACAACAAATGTGTAACGATGCCGAGACTTATTGTCAACAAAATACGGGACTTATTCCAATTCCCTATGTTCATTCAGTTGATAATGGCGATAATAATGCAAATTCATTTCCACCTGTAATTTACACTGGCGTTGATAATTATCAACAAACATACGTGCCATATTATCAGCCATACGCTTATCAACCACAAACTGTTTATCCTGGAATGGGACCGGGAAATTCACAAGAAAATTGGTATCAATATCCAGGTCATTCACATTATATTCCACCTTGCGTGCAATTTAATCAACCACCACCACCACAACCTGGCTCATCATCAAATGGCGCTATGTAAAATTTCATTTACATAATAAGATCAAAAAAAAAAAAAAAAAAAAAAGAATATCCTGAGGATAGTTAAATTATGTTACATAACGATTATTAGTTATTATTTTTATTATTAATATTATTATTATTTTTTGCTTTTTGATACTGTTAACGTATAAAAATCTTTTTTGATATTAATATTTTCATATATATTTTATAATAATATTTTTTCAAATAGAGTAATTTCTATTTATAAATGACGGATTTTGGATTAATATAAAACAGTTACTGTTACTTTTACAGGTTAACATTTTTCGTCTATAAAATAAATTTACTAAAATGAATTTTTTTTTTAAATTCTTTTCCTTTTTAACTCATCATTTTGATAAAATTATTTATTTGGAAACATATTTTTTTGAATAAAAATTGCAAACACTAAATTTTACCAAATTAGGAGTTTTTTTTGAAACATAATAGAGTAAGTGCGCCAATTACGGCGCGTTCATAAAAAATAACTATTATTACTACTATTATATTTAATATAAATGTTGCAAAATAATTTTTAAAAAATTATTTTAATCTTTTTTTGATACAATTACTATAATAAAGATGCATATTTAAACAATTATTAATTTAATTATTTGATATCAAATTTTTTCCCTCGCCGTAATTGAAACATTTTTAAGATTTCCATTGGCTCCAATTACGGTGGGCAAAGTATTTTCAAAATACACATAATTTTTATCACTGTAATTGACACACCAAAACTAATTCAAACGCGCCGTAATAGAAAATTACGATATTAATTTTAATTTCTCATATTTGTTTAAATAATCGTTTTTTATAAAGTTTAAAATTACTTTTAATATCTAAATAACATAAGCTTTTAGTTTAATAAGTTTTAAATTTACTTTCTACAATAGAAATGTCGAATTTTTTATTTCAAAGGTGTTTTGAGTCGAATCGCGTCGTAATTATAGTGCATTTACCCTAATAGAAAATCTGGAATTTTTATTTTGATTCATGAAATCATAGAAATTATGAAATTTTATGTTTGAATTGTGAAAAAATTTATTTACATTTAATTTCTTCATACAATGAAGTTGATGAAGTTTACAACGTTTATGATCAACGATTGAAAGAAAAATATTATTCACTCAAAAAATAATAACTAATTTTTTGCCTAGAAAATTTTTTTTCCAAAAATTATTGATCAAGAATAGTTGCAAAAAAATTTTTTAAAACAAATATAATAAAATTGAATATAAAAATATTTTTTCATCTCAAATCGTTGATCATAAACGTTATGAACTTCATCGACGAAATATAAACATGCTTATTTATTGTTTATTTAATCAAATTTGCATTTAATGAAATATTTTCATTTAATTCGATTTTTATCTTTTGAACGAATTTTTATTTGTCAACATTTTAATTTGTTTAAAATATTAATTTAAGGGTATGTGGGAGCCTCCCACGTGACCTAGTATGGGAAAATGTGTTTTGGTAGTATACATAATTTACTTTAAAATAAGAAAAAAAATTTTGTCTCAATTTTTGAGGGATTATAGATTTGGGTACAAGGAATTTGTTTTCCGAAAAATACATAATTTTGCGTTAAATTATTAAAAAATGAAGTTTAAAAAGTTTAAATAGTCTTTACATTTGTTATCGTAATTTTTTGACATTCTTTTGTTCTTTATACATTTTTTGTTTAACATTACATATTTGCATTTATCACAATTTTTTTTTATAAAATTAATTTTTGATAGAAAAGAAAAAAATTTGAAGATGTCAGAAAAAAAACCAAAATATTGTCTAGAAGTCAGGGAAAATTATAATGAAACTTTTGTGTCAACCCTGAGAATTTTAATTTGATCAAAATATTCATTTAACCGAATTTACTATTGATTTTTTTTTTTAAATAATTATTGATCGATTTTTTTAAATTAGTCTCTAAATTTGTTTTCGCAATTTTTTATAAAATTTTAAACTATTAAAAATGTCATTTTACTATTTAGTATAGAAAATCTACGAAATCCAAGTCTTCTTTTAAGATATTCAATTTTTTTTTTAAAACTGATCGAAATTTATGAGAAAATTGTAAAATATAAATTCAAGAAATCTTGAAATTTTTTTTTTTTTTTTTTAATGAAAAAAGTCTAAAATTTAATTCAAAAATTTTAATGAAATCCCTGATTTTTGTTTTTAGTAATATGTTTATATATTTTTTTTTTTATAAATTGTTTACAAAAAAACGTCTTTTTTATTGTAGTACAAATATCACGTGTGTCTCTCTTATAGAGAGAATAATTTTGATTGTGCGTACAATGAAATATAATTTATTTCATGATTAAATTTTCAAATAGTCTTGTAATAAAATATTTTTCCGCTCTTGAGATTCAAATTTTTGTTTCTTTTTTTTTTTTTTTTTGTAAACTTTGCGAAGATTAAAATTTTTGCATTAAAATTAATTTCGCCATTTTGTTCCTGGATTATGTAAAAAGTTCTCAGCATAAAAATATTGTTCCGATTGAGGTTGTAGGCTCGCTTTATATTCGAGAAGAGCCGTTCGATCTCCTTGAGAAACAAGAATCTTAAACAAAATTAAATATTAGAAATTGTAATAATTTTGATTTTCTTTTTATGTTTAATATGAAATCAAAATTAAAATTTCATTTTTATTTATTATAATTAAAAAATTTTTTTTGAGAACAATACTTACATCAATGACACTTTTGTAGCATTGAATGCTTTTGGCGATATCTAAACGTTTTTTAATATTATCTACATAACCGAGGAATTTTTCAAGAATAGGATTTGGTGCTTTACAGTCCTGTAATATCTTTAATATTTCTTCAATTGGCAGAGACGTTTGTAATTTTTTACCGCCAAGCCAACTCTATTAATAAGAATAATTAATTTAAAAAAATATATTTTTCAATAAAACTAAAAATTTATTTTTTAGATTGATTCTTTAATTATTGAATTTCTTTTATTTACGAAAATAATAATAATTTTATTATTTACCTTTGTATGAAGTAAACGATCAATATCATCCCAGGCTTCTTCGGTAGCTCGCGTTTTTAATGCAACTTTTTCATACTGACGAGGTGAAATTTGATGTTGTTTCAATAATGTTGTTGGTGAAATTAAATTCCCTTCAGACGAATCCCAATGATCGCGACAAGTATGCTCGAGACATTTTAATAATGGAGAATTCACCTCCAATTGTTTACTGAGCTGAGTGTCTTTTACATCTAGTTGCCATTCTTTTTTTGAAATAAAATTTTAATTAAAAAAAAATTCAATTTTTAATACTGTCAACTATTTAAATTTAAAAAAAAAAATCATCAAATTACAAGCTGAACACATTAATTATTTATTTATTTTTATTTTTAGTTATTATTTTACTTGAAACTTTAATTAAAATAAAATTAACATATATAAATAATTTTTTTTTATAATACAAATAGATAATTATAAAAATTTATTACCTAATAGTTTTATGTACAATTCAATAAACTTAGTTTCTGGACAATCTTGTAAATCCATAAAAAGTGTCTTGTGACAATTACGAAGTCTTTGTAACAGTCTCTCACTATTGCTTGTATTCTTTATAATGAGATGCAAATCTCTAATCTGAGAATATTAAATAATTATTGTATTTATTGTTATTGGTTACGAAATTAAAATATAATTAAATATTTGAAATAAACTTACAGCTGCGTCTACAGTTAGGCCTTGCATACTAAAAATAAATTTAAATTTAAATTAAACATTAAAAAAATTATCCAGGGCCAATAAATAAATTCACAATAAAAATAAATAAATAGATATTGAATTTATTCAAACTTCTTCAAATAAATATCATAAAAAAGAATATTAAATTTCTTTTCGGATTTTTTTTACTCTTTTCTTCAAATTAAAGAAATTAAATTAAATTATATTTAGCTATTATAATTATATTTATAAATCAAATAATTAAAGTAAATTATATATACTTACGTTAGAAGATCGGTAATCTCATTTCTTTGCAATCTCGTGGAAAGATAATGCAAATAAGCGTTCATCGCTTCTGGACGTTCCATTAATAATTTTTGAGCTAAAGACGTTTTTAATGTCTTCATAATAAACAATACTATCTGAAATTATTTATTATACATTAAATTAAAAATAAAATTAAAAAAAAATGATATTCTTTCAATTTTATTTATAAATTGATATAAAAAAAAAACAATTTAAATCTAAAATTTGTAATTTTCAAAAATGCAGTCTTAATTTAAATTTTGTAAATTTTAAAGTGATAAATAATTTGAAAATACCAACACCTAGAATTGCATTTCCATTGCCACTGGCAATTGCTGCATCAAGCAGAGAAGTTTTACTCGCTAGAGATTTATATGATTCCAAAGAAACAACTTGTCCTTGTAAAATTTTCTTTAGCGTTATTTCTTGATGAATTCCATTTACTTCATCATTTTGTTGTTGAGCTTTATCTGCCGTTAATACTGTAAAATTTAATATGAAAAAAAAAAAAAATTAAAATATTTTCACAATTTTCAATGTCAACAAAATTGCACAAATTTCAATATCATTCAAATACCGAAAAAAAAGATTTATTTTATTCAAATAATCCGTTACTTGACTATTATCAAATAAATATTGAGTCAATTAAATGGTATTTATTTCCAAATACAGAAATTATTGATTTAAATATAGTTTATTTAATTCAAATAAAAATTATTTGGTTCGAGTAAATATTTATTTGATAATAGTCAAATAACCGATTATTTGAATCAAATAAAATTTTTTTTCAGCAAACAATTTTTATTTATTTATTTATTTCAAACATAAACGGGTTTCAAATAAACCCTTTTGAATATTTAATATTAAAATTAATTATATTAATATAATATTAATATATAGGGTTACTACAATTTAATTACAATTTCCCCCTGACTTCCAGACAATATTTTGCAGTTTTCTCAGACATTTTTAAATTTTTCTTCTTTTTTATTAAAAGTGAATTTTATTTTTAAAAAATTGTGAAAAATGAACAATAAAATAAATATATAAAAATTATGTAAAACAAAAATATTGTATAAAAAACAATTCAAATTTAAAAAAAAAAAAAAATTCAATTAATTTTACAAAAGATTATAAATTTCTATCTATTAACATTCTTCGACAAATCAATAATTTTTAATAAATTTCAATAGTTTTTCAAAAATTTATTTTTTTTAAACAAATTTTTAATTAAAAATTCTCTAATATTTAATTATTGTCTGAAATTTGCATAAAAAAAAAATTCAGGAGTACGAGTTTACAATTTAAAATCGCCTGAAATTCAATTATTTCCAAAAAATAATTAACCTGTTAATTTTTGAAAAATTCAATTATTTTGATAAATTTTCAAAAATTTTGTACGCAATTTGTGTGCTAATAATTGTAAAAAAAAAAAAAAAAATGTGTCGATTTGTTATTGGAAATCAGAAATTTAGTAAAGCAATTGTACAAATTTTTTTTCATCACATTTTAAAAAATTCTTTGAATTTGAATTTTTCCCTCTTAATTTTAAATTTGAACCGCTTATCACTACAATTTTTATACTATTTTAAATAATAAATATTATTTTATAAAATTTGAATAATTGAAAGTTTTTTTTTTTTTTTTTTAAATTTATAGTCATATTATTACTCACAAATTGTTTAGTAAAAAATAACACATTCAAAACATATAATATTTATTTTTGTAAACGTACTATAATTTAGCGTTTTGTCCGAGATGACAGATAATAATGGTTTTAAATTCCATTGACGATCATCATTCTTCAAATAGTTTTCAGGTATTTGTATATTAGAAATTCCAGCTCTTAAAAGAGCAGTTCCTGATTTTGAAACTCCAAATAAATTGTCTCTCTAAAATAAAGTTTTTTTTTTTTTAACTACAAATCCGTGATATATTTTTTTTCATTTTAGTGATAAATTTAGAACAGTTAACGGTTAATTTGAATATTGGTTTCCGAAAGAAAAACACTTAAAAAAAGAGTGATAATAACAATAAATAATCAGTTAATTCAATTAATAAAAACTTTCTTACACGCTTAATAAATATGATTTAAAAATAATTTATTTTTCAATTATTATATGTGTATAAAAATTAAATATATATAAAAAATAGTAATGCGTAAATTACTGATTAGTTTTATATAGGATTAAAATAAAATTTCTTAATATTTTTGTTATATAATATATAAAACGTACATATTAGAATAAATAAATTTTGAACAAATGTTTATTATAAAGTAAACAATGAATTTTTACGTAAAACTTAATTTTTTAATTGTAAATATTTAGAAAAAAAATAATACAAGTAATTATTTAACTGAATTTGAGTTTTTATTTATATATAAAAAAAAAGAAACTAACCTCATTGCTTTCAAAACAAAAAGATCGTTTATCACTGCCATACCAATAATCGTCATCGTCTTTAGCTGAACTCATTTTTCTCACTTATTAAAAATAATGTTACACATAGTAATTATTTATTAAAATAAATTCTAGTATATTATTAAGCCTAAGTATAATTAAGTTTTAAAAACTGTTTTGACATTTTTATAACGTTGTGTCACAAAAGTATGTTGTCATTTAATTTTGTTTGTAATTCCAACTCACAGAGAGCGCTGCAGTTTCTTTGAAAATTATAGCGGCAAAATTTATTAAATAATATTTTATTTTAATTTTTTTTATATTTTTAAATTATAATTATTGATTTTTGTTTTATATTCGTTTATTTGAAAACTAATTTAAGCAATTTATTCGAATTAAAATTTTTGAAGACTATTTTAAACTGTTATAAAAATCATTAAAAATAATTGAAATTTTTACAAATAATTAAATTTCAAGTGATTTTGAATTAAAAATTTTTGGTAATTTTATTTGTTAATTTTTTTTTAAATTATAAACAATTATTAAATTTCATAAGAATTTTAATTGAAAAATATAATTAAAGATAATTGAATTTGTGAAGAATTTCATTAAAATTATTAAAAATAATTAATTTAGTTTTACTTTGGACCTCACATTGGATTCAAAAATGTAGATCCTTTTTTTGTGATTTTTTTTCCATACTTTTTGAACATCAGAATAAATTTAAACAAACCATGAGAAATTTTTGGCCCTTGTAATTTGAATAAAAATAAAAAATTTTTGTTCCGTGACACTAGCACGGAACAGAACAAAAATTACATTTCCGGACACAAAAGAAATAAAAGACAATATAGCTTTTTTTTTTATTATTTTATTTTCAGAAGAATTATAAAAGGCTTAAAATACATTATAAATCAAAATTAATAATATTATATCCTAAAGTTAAGCAGCAGTTTGAACACAAGTTTCAAGATAAAAAATAAATCTATACTTTTTTTGTTAAATATTTTTTCATTGGAAGCTAAGCTTCAATTTAAATTTCTTCGAACTAATACTATTCATATAGATAGATAGATAGATAGATAGATAGATAGATAGATAGGCGCCGAAAATCAAAATAATTAAAAAATAAATATTTTTTGAAAAATGTAGAAAGTAAATTCTATAGGAAAAATAAACATCAAAAGAGAAATGAAGAGAGTAAATAAAAGATTGAAGAGAGAAAAATTAATTAAACCACACTCACTTGTCTACAAGTAAATAATAAAAATTATTATTATTTTTTTAAATTAAAAATAAACCATTAGAATGTAAAAGAAAAATAAGTATAAAAATTGATTAAACAATTTTTCAGTTATTTGAAAATATGGAAGCAATTTGTTTCAATGTGGAAAATATGTCTTGCATAGTATAATAAATAGGTTATTCATGTATAATTTCTAAATTAATGAAAATTCAAGTAAACTAAGTTAAGTCCTGCAAAACAAAAAAAAAAAAAAAAAACAAACAAACAAAAAACTGTTGACACACACTGGAGACTTTTAATCTTTTCTTCTTAGTTTCCTAAAAGAAAAGTAAATTCGATTATTATTGCATTATATTTTTTTTTCAAATTTTAATAAAATTAATTTACATTATTTTATTTCATTTCTATAAAAGCGTTTTTAGTTATGTTTGTTATTCAACTTTCCTTAAAAATGTAATTTATTTATAGTAAACTGATTATTTAAAATTTAGAATTTATTATAATATTAAATTTTATGTTTAAAAATTTTTTTTTTAAATTTTACTCACTTTGTTAAACTAGGTTCTTGTAAATTTACTGGAGCTTTTTGACGTCTAGGTCTTGATGAAGCAAATTTACTGCTAGCATTACTACTTTCGGAATCACTATTTGTTTCTGCTTTTAACGCTTTCCTGTAAAATTAATTAATTTATGATTTTTTTATTTAATTATTTTAATTTTTTACTGAAGTAAATTTGAAAAAAAGTGAAAATAAAAAAAGCAAATTTATTGTTAATTATAATTATTTTACTATTAGAGATATTTACTAAAAACAGGCCTTGGATCAACTTGAACGCGCAAAAAAATCGTTTTCACATTCCAAAAAAAAAATCGATTTTTTTTATATTAATTAAATTTTATTAGTTAAAAAATATTTTACTTTAAATAACTAATGTTATTAGATATTAAATTAATTAATTTTGTATTAGTTTATAAGTCACCTACATGATTTCGTCATTCTGTGATTACATTCATTATATCTTCTTATAATATTAAGTGCTTTTGCACTAAAGGGCATTTTTAACTTTTTATTTGTAAGCCCGTACATTGTAATTAAATAAATAAATAAATAAATAAATAAATTTTATTAATTCTTAAATAAGAATATTGTCAAGAAAATTTAATTGAATAGGACAAATATAAAAAAAAAATTCTCAAAGTTTTTAGTTTTAATGGTCAAAAAAATTTCGGACAATAATTAAGTTTTACAGATTTTTAAATTAAAATTTTTTGTAATAATTGAATTGCAGATTTTAAATTAAATTTTCGGAGATTTAAAATTAAGATATTATAAAATAATTGAAATTCAAGTGATTTTTGATTAGAAAATACTTTCAGATAATTGAAATTTTTTAAGAATATATTATAAAAATTATTGAAAATAATTGAATTTCGTAAGAGTTATAGTTGAAATTATTAAATTTCAGAAAGTTTTAGATAGAAAATTTTATATTTTGAGTATAAATAATTGAATTTTAAGTGATTTTGAATTCAAATTTTTGGTAATTTTATTTACTGATGTACTTTAAATTTTTTAACAATTATTAAATTTCATAATATTTTTAATAGAAAAATAATTTAAGATAATTAAATTTGTGAATAATTTCATGAAAATTATTGATAATAATTAATTTAGATATGAATTTTAGTTAAATAATTAAAATAAAGATGAACTGAAGAAGATCTGCATTGTATATTAAAAGAAAACGTATTTTGTAAAAAAATTTAAAGAATGTAAAAAAAAAGTTGTATCTTATTAAATTAAGTCGAAAAAAATCGTTTTTTTTTGAAAAAAAAGTCAGAAAACTGCAATTAACAAAAATCATTAAATTTAAATTAAAAAATTATTATCTTTTAATTAATTTAATTAATAAAAGAATTAAATACATTTTTTTTTACTCACCTCATTGCCAATGATTCGTCTGAATTTTTTCTATTTTGTGATGGTAATTTTAGTAGAACAACTTTAGCAGCCTTAGGATCTTTATCATTCATATTTGATTTGTGTTTGATTTTTTTCTTTTTCGCCATACTTTGCATTGAATTATGTATTGATTCATCATTTTCCAATAGTGTATCAATTAATGTTGTTTGCTTCTTTCGTTTTCTTGGTACTTTAATTTTTTCCACAACGGGACTTAATAAATTTTCTTGCGATGATTCATCTTCAGATATTGGAACCGGAACATCTGAAAAACGTGGCATACTCATATTTGGCATATAATTAATTTGCTCTCTCATTACACCATTAATTGAAACAATATTAATGGTACTTGTTATTTCAGGCTCAACAACTGGCCTATTTACAATTGGACTTTCCATAACTGGCAATTGTAAATCATCAATATTAAATGATGGTTTTCTTGTTTGTTGTCGTATATTTAACATTATTGTTGGATCATCGAGATCATCAAAATCATTAACATTTTGACGATTGGAATGTCCACGATTTTTTGTTACAAATCTGGCAAAATTCATTGTCATTTCAATATCTGGCGAATTTTCCTGATTATTATTATTATTATTGTTATTATTAATTCGTGGCTCGGAATAATTGCCTTTTTTTGGAGTTTCATTGTTTGAAATATCAATATTATTTGGCAATTTTGTTGATGTACGAACAGGAGTGAATGTACCATTTTCTTTATGTGTTGCATTAATTTTTGATCTTTTATATTGTGTAACGTTACTTTGACTTTCAGAATCGGATGAATCGTTATCATCAATTGGCGCTGTTAAATCGTTAAACATCCAACTTGGTCCTTCTAGGGGATCATCATTTATTGAATTATTATTATTATTATTATTATTATTCTTACTACTGTTGCTGTTGGATAGTGATTTTTTCGAATTATTACTGAAATTATAACTTTCATTGTTTAAGTCAAGTGTTTTGTCGAGATTTGATTTTTCGAATGAACTTGATCCATTGAGAATTCGTGTTTTATCAACAATATCACTTCTTAATATTGTAACTTGTGGATTGAATTTACGACTCATTGGCCTTGAGGGTATATTCATACAAATGTCATCGTCAATATCAGAATCCGATAATTGAAAATCTACTTGTTTCTCCGTTCTTAATGAACAATTTTCACGATTTTGAGAATCAGTTGATGAATTTATACAACGTGTTTCATCCATTACTACTGAATGTTCTTCCAGCTGATACAAAAAAACAAAGCTGAATTAAAATTACGAGAAAATAATTAATTAATTACCGCTATTAATTAATAATATTAATTTTTTAAATACCGTTCGCACGTTGACTGTTTGTAAATTTTGAAGTAACTTGGAAACATCACTTAGGGCCACACGAGGACTTTTAATTAAAATACCTTCAACTCGATCATTTTGTTGATGATCAGTGCTTCGTCTTTTTATTCGACTTTCCGATAAACTGCCCGATTTACGCTTTGAAAATCTACCAGAGAAACGATCTGATATTCTGTGTCTGTTACTAAGTCTTCGTTCATCTAGATCTGAAAAATAATTTTTTATTAATTTTTTAATGTCTGCAAATTATTTGTTTTTCTCATTTATGAGTTTAGAGTTCTTATCTGAAATATTTTTTTTCACGATATAATATTGTTTTTTACTTACCATCTATCAATACAACTGGAATTCGATCCGATATTCTACGGACACGTCGATTTTCCTGAAATTATATTATTAATTTGTCAGCAAACAGAAGAAAAAAAAAATTGTAAATAAAAATAAACTTACAAAATTGAGTTGCCTACGTGATGAATCGGAAATTCTATTAGTAGGACTTCTAGATGAACCACTGGAAGGCGAGCCTGCATTTATATCAGGCGATGATGGTGATTCTTCAATAGTCGTTAAACTTAGGACATTTTGAAAATTTTGCATATTTACTCTTGATAAATTAATTGTTGGCTTTTGAATTGTATGTCCGCTAACCATTGGCTTTACAACACCTTTAGCAGGTGATTTTGTAGACATTCTTCTATTTGAATCTCGTCCTTTTATAAGGAAATTAAAAAAAAAATTAATAATAAAATAAAGAAAAATAAAATGAAAATTCAATATAAAAAATTAATTATTTAATTTAAAAATAAAACACTCACTTCCAGCAGAAGATGTAGATGAACGATAACTGTTTCCAGTGTTAGAAACAAATTCCTGACATGACGATATTGTGTTTGTTAAACAATTGCTCATATTGATTATCAATTGCAGCATGTCTTTTGCATTTTTCGAAACATTTTTAAATATATCCTATTTTTTAAAAGATTTCAGTTAATTACATTTTTTAAAACAAAAATTTGTGAAATATAATCTTAATTTTAGATGTATTTTAATAATATGATTTTTTTTTTAGAATTAATTGGAATTGAAGTATTAATACTTTAAAATTGTATGGTAAATTGAATTTTTGATAAATTAAAACTTAAATAAATAAAAATTTGGAAAAATGAAATTCGAATACTATCAAATCAAATTTAGATAATTTGATAAACTTAAATCAATTAAAATTAAACTCAAATTTTTGTTAAAAATTTGTAAACAAATATCTTCAGCAATTCAAATTTACAAACAATTCCAAATTTCAATTCTTCTGCAATTCAATTAATTCTAAAAATCTTCTTAGTAACTATTCGAAAATTTAATTATTGTCTCAATTTAAAATCGCCCAAAAATAAATTACTTCAGACCTCGGATTAACTTTAGGGCCCAAAAAAAGTCGAAAAAGTCGATTTTTTTTATTTCAACAAAATTGAATTGGTTAATGGATATTTTACTTTAAATAACTAACATTATTAATTAAATTCATATTATTAATTCTGTAATGAGAATAATTCTATAATGAATATTATCAAGAAAATTTATTTTCGAATATTTCAGAATCGAACTAATTGTAAGACAAATTTTCAAAATTTTATTTAATTAGGACAAATTTCTAAAAAAAAAAAATTCTTAAAGTTCCATTTTTATAATTTTCTGAAGTGTGATTTAAGCAATTTATTCGAATTAAAAATGTTGTCATAGTTTTTAATTTTTATGGTCAAAAAAAATTTTAGTCAATATTTAAACAAGTTTTACAGATTTTTAAATAATAATTTTGTAAGAGTTAAAGTTAAAATTTTTAAAAATATTTGAATTTCAAAAGATTTTGTTAATTTTCATACAATAATTGAATTTTACAGAACTAAAAATAATTTATCAAATAATTTTAGATAACATTTTTTAAAAGTAATTGAATTTTCAAAGATTTTTGAAATATTAATTGAACTTCAAGTGATTTTTTTAATTAAAATTTTTTGATGATTTCTGTTACTAAAAAATTTATTAGAAATTGCAGACAAAAATACAATAATTTGAAAACTTTTTAAGTGAAAAATGGTTTTAGATGGTTGAATTTTAGAACAATATTATAAAAATCACTAAAAAATAATTGAATTTCAGGAGAGTTATAATTGAAATTATTAAATTTCAAAAAATTTTAGATGGAAAATTTTAAAAATAATTAAATTTTAGAAGCTTTTAAATTGAAATTTTTGAAAATAATTAAATTTCAAAAGATTGTGTTAAATTTCAGACAATAATTATAATAAGTGAAATTTTTAGTGATTTCTGTTTATGAAGAATTTATTAGAAATAACAGAAAAAAATTGAATTCCAAAATTTTTCAATTGAAAAATGCTTTCAGATAATTGAATTTTCGAAGAATATTATAAAAATCATTAAAAATAATTGAAATTTTTGCAAATAATTAAATTTCATTTAATTTTGAATTAAAAATTTGTGGTAATTTTATTTGCTAATTTTTCTTTAAATTATAAATTATAAACAATTATTATTTTTCCTAAAAAATTTGAATTGAAAAATAGTTTAAGATAATTGAATTTGTCAAGAATTTAATTAAAATTATTATAAATAATTAATTTAGTGAAGAATTTTAGTTAAAAATTTGTTAAATAATTGAAATAAAGAAGATCTGAAGAAGATCTGCATTGTATACTGATAAAACGTATTTTGTTAAAAAAAAATTTTTTTTAAATGTTAAAAAAATTCGAAAAAGTCCCATTTTATTAAAATAAGTCGAAAAAGACGTATAATCTGAGGCCTGTTATTTCTAAAAATTTAATCTCTTTAATCTTCAAAAATCCAATTATTTTAGTGAATTTTGAAAAAATTTGCACATATTTTTTTGTGCTAATAATTGTAAAAATAAAATGTGTCGATTTTTTGCTGGAAATCAGAAATTTAGTAAGGTATGTGAATTTGAATGAAATTTAACGATGACAAATTTTTTTTTACATCACATTAAATTCTTTGGATTTGAATTTGAATTAAATAAATTTGTTCAATTTTCCAAATTTTTCTGAAATTTCTGTCAAAAAAAAAAAAAACTTTCCTTGACTTTTCTCACTTGTGGCTACTTTGTTAATCTAAGATATATTTAAACAATGATTTTTTTTAAGAATTAAAAAATTATTTACTCACATCTCGTCGTTTACAGGCGTATTCTAATTCGTGTACTTCAGCGATAAGAGCCACATTTTGTGAAAAAAGAGATTGACTTTCTTGTTTTTCTTGTGATAATGCTCTCGCTAAGGAATGATTGTTATTCTTCAATTTTTCATAAGCTGCGCAATTAAAAATAAAAATTTTAAAACATTTGAGAAACGACAAAATATGTAAAAAAAAAATAATAAAAAACAAGAAAACTTACATGGTGTGCGTGCTTTTGGAGGTCGATTTCTTGGACATTGCGTTCTTTTAATCACAACACCTGGTCTTTTAACTTTTCGATGTTTAGACACAGACGGCATTTTTACATAAAAGTTGTTAATACAATTCTAGAAATTTAAAAAGCAATACAAAATTGAAATCTTTTAACAAAATATAAAATTAATGCTTTCTTCTAAATCATAGATTGTTAGTATGTTGCATTTTTTTTATTTTAACCATAATTCACATATTTCAATTAACGATAAATAGAAATAATTGTAAGCAAATGGTAAAATATTGAAATATTCAAATGAAATAAAGTAACAGCCTTTATAAACTTACTTTTTATAAAAGTTTTCAACACGCCAATAACAGTGTAAGCATTTAGAAGATCATTTTGATTTTCTGTAGAATTTACCGTTTAATTGATTATTAAGATAAATGGAAAGTCTTGCATTTTACAACACTAAAAGTACTTAAGTATACACTATTATTATTGATTTAAAATACTTTTCTAAATTAGATTTAAATCGTTTTATAATTCAACCTCCTGGAAATTTGTCTTCTTTGCAGAAATCGTTTAATTTATAGAAACTAACGTTAGAGGCGCTGAATTCAATTTCCCCCACTTCAAAAGAACCTAACCTTTTACATCCAACCTGCCCTGACCTGAATAAACATGAACTAACTCAACCTGACGCGGTATAAGATAAAATAATATTTAAAAAAAAATTAAAGAATTAACAAAAATTTAATCAATTTTTATAAGCGCTTTATATTTCCTTAAGAACACTAGAAATATTTTTATTTATATAATTTTCACAAACAATCGTTACACTTGATTTAAAACGAAAAAATAATTCAAATATAATGTTGTTTACTTTTTAAACAAAATTCTCTTTTTTTTCCCCCTCTCGTATTTTTGGACACGATTTTCAAACCACGTCAGTCTGCAATGTCTGCAACTTTTATTGTTCAACCATAACCAAGAAATATCGAAATATACATGAAATTGTTTTATAATAAAAGTTTATTTTTGTGTATAAAATACGGTTTCATTTTTAAATAATAAAAATTGATAAAATATTGTTCTAAAGAACGTACATGTCACTTTTTCAGTTATTGAGTTTTTCTAAACAAATTAATTCAATTTACACGTCTTGATTTATATTTCGTCATTTATTTTTGGTGGTAGAACAAAAATAAATAAAATGAATTTAACAATGTGGATTTTAATTATTTGTTGCTCGTGGTTAACATTTGTTAATGGTCAGGGTGATAGAATTGCGCCTGGTGTCCCTCCACAACATTATCAACAGGTTAGTTATATACATTTATAGTTTTGTTAAATTTCATAAACATATGGTGATTAATGAACAATTTTTTTTTCAATATTTTATGTATTTTTTTGTTTTTTTTTATAATTATAATTATTTGAAAACATAAAAAATAGTCAAATTATTTTAATGTAGTTTTATTTTTGTTTATAAAATATATAATATCAAATTTTTTTTTTATTGATTATTGTAGGTGTTTTGTAAAAGAAAATTAATGTTCACAATTTTGTAATGTTTGTACTCGTGGAATTTTGATTGTTCTACTTTCAGTTTAATATTGTTCATTCTTTTTGTAATTCCGATTTCGTGTGTAAATAATTATAATAATTATCTTATATTATAAGATTATATTGTATTTTTCGTTCTTTTTTTACAAAATTTTTATACAAAATACGTCTTTTTTAGTATATAATGCAGACTTTTTTAAGATCTTTTTTATTTTAATTATTTAAAAAAATTTTTAACTAAAATTCATTTCTAAATTTATTATTTTTAATCATTTTCATGAATTTTTTCACAAATTTAATTATCGTAAATTATTTTTCAATGAAAAATGTTATGAAATTTAATAATTATTAAAAATTTTAATGTAAATCAGCAAATAAAATTACCAAAAATTTGAATTAAAAATCACTTGAAATTCAATTATTTTCAAAAATATGAATTTAAAACATTTTTAAATTTAATTATTTCTAAAAATTTCCGTCTAAATTTTTCTGAAATTTAATAATTTCAACTATAACTTCCGAAATTCAATTATTTCTAAATGATTTATATAATATTTTTTAAAAATTCAATTATCTGAAAGAATTTTTCAATTAATAACTTTTAAAGTTCCATTTTTTGTCTTTAATTTTTAATAAATTTTTTAGTAACAGAAATCACTAGAAAATTCAATTAAAAATCACTTAAAGTTAAATTATTTCCAAAAATTTGAATTGTAAATTTTGGAAAATTCAATTATTTATAAAAAAATATTATCTAAAGTTATTTTAGAAATTATTTTCAATTTCTGTAAAATTTAATTATTTTTTGAAATTTAATAAAATCTTTTGAAATTCAATTATTTCTAAAAATTTCAACGTAACTCTTCTAAAATTAAAATATTTTTAAAATTTATTTAAAAATTCAATATTATTTAGAAAAGTTTCAATTAAAAACGGTAAAATTGAATTGTCAGAAATCAAAGAAAATTGTTTAAATTTGCAGAAAAAATATTTTAAATTTAAATTTTAAATTTAACTACTTTTGTAATGTAAATCGACTAAAACAACATTTTTTGCGCCTTGAAGTCGATCCGAGGCCTGTTGATTTGTATAATTATTGATTGTTTTCAATTATATTTATATTTACAGTTATTTTGTAACTTGTTTATAAATTCAAAATGTAAAAAATATTAAACATATAAAAATGAGTACAAGAGAAAATTTTGATAAAATATAAATGTTTGATGTACGAAAGAATTTATTTTATTTCTGTGAGAATAAAAAAAAAAAATTTCCAGCAATATCAGCAAGTACCTCAACAAAATGTGCCGATGCAACATGGGCAACAACAATATAATGCTCCTGTACAACAGCAACAAATGCATCAACAACAAATGCCTGTACAACAACAAGTTCCAATGCATCAACAGGTACCTGTACAACATCATCAACAAGTACCGCAACATCATCAGCAACAGCAGCAACAACCTCATGGTCATGGACATGCTCATCATGGAGAACGTCAACAACTTCTCAACGCTGCCAATATTGCACAGGAAAAAGAGTACGCAGGAGTCTTTTTTTCCAAAATTAATAAATAATATATTTCTTTCATATTTAAAACTAGAATTTAATTTATATTTTAATTTTTTGTGTTTAAATAGCCATATTAAAGAACATATGGAAGTACCACTTGACACATCTAAAATGACTGAACAGGAATTACAATTCCATTACTTTAAAATGCACGATGCTGATAATAATAACAAATTAGATGGTTGTGAACTTATTAAATCTCTTATTCATTGGCATGGTAAGAAAGAATCTAAATTCTAAATAATAAAATGATATATCTATTTTCATTTATTACAGGACTAGGAATTTATTTTTTCTATTTTTTTAAAATGACACTTATTTTGATTTTTTTTTTTTAAATTCGAATAGCATTTTTTCATTTAAAATTAGAACGAAGTAGCAAAAAGCCTTTTCTAAATTTTGAATAATTTTTCAAAAATTATCATTGTGTTAGACTTTAAAAAAAAATATATTAAAAGTTCCAAATTTTCAAAATTATTCTAAATCAAAAATTTTTTCAAATATTTTACTCAATATTATTCTATGAATTATTCTATGAATAAAGAAAACTTATTGTAAATCCTTTGGTTATTGAAAATTACAATTATTTAATTGAAAAATTAAATGTAATATATCATTTCCTTTAATAGGTTAAGGAAAATTGTTTTAATTAAATAATTGACTTTTTTTCAAAAATACAACTTTTTTCGATATATATTTTAATAAAATGCGTCTTTTTCGACTTTCTTACATTTTTTTTACAAAATATTTAAACAAAATACTTTTTTTTTTTTAGTATACAATGCAGATCTTCTTCAGATCTTCTTTATTTCAATTATTTAACATATTTTTAACAAAAATTCTTCAATAAATTAATTATTTTTAATAATTTTAATGAAATTCTTCACAAATTCAATTATCAAACACAAATTCAATTTAAAAGTTTCTAAAATTTTTTGAAATTTAATAATTTCAATTATAACTCTCCTGAAATTAAATTATTTTTAAACAAAATACGTTTTATCAGTATACAATGTAGATCTTCTTCAGATCATCTTTATTTCAATTATTTAACAAATTTTTAATTAAAATTCTTCACTAAATTAATTATTTATAATAATTTTAATGAAATTCTTGACAAATTCAATTATCTTAAACTATTTTTCAATTCAAATTTTTTAGGAAAAAATAATAATTGTTTATAATTTATAATTTAAAGAAAAATTAGCAAATAAAATTACCACAAATTTTTAATTCAAAATTAAATGAAATTTAATTATTTGCAAAAATTTCAATTATTTTTAATGATTTTTATAATATTCTTCGAAAATTTAATTATCTGAAAGCATTTTTCAATTAAAAACTTATGGAATTCAATTTTTTTATGTGATTTCTAATAAATTCTTCATAAACAGAAATCACTAAAAATTTCACTTATTATAATTATTGTCTGAAATTTAACACAATCTTTTGAAATTTAATTATTTTCAAAAATTTCAATTTAAAAGCTTCTAAAATTTAATTATTTTTAAAATTTTCCATCTAAAATTTTTTGAAATTTAATAATTTCCATTATAACTCTCCTGAAATTCAATTATTTTTTAATGATTTTTATAATATTGTTCTAAAATTCAACCATCTAAAACCATTTTTCACTTAAAAAGTTTTCAAATTATTGTATTTTTGTCTGCAATTTCTAATAAATTTTTTAGTAACAAAAATCATCAAAAAATTTTAATTAAAAAAATCACTTGAAGTTCAATTAATATTTCAAAAATCTTTGAAAATTCAATTACTTTTAAAAAATCTTATCTAAAATTATTTGATAAATTATTTTTAGTTCTGTAAAATTCAATTATTGTCTGAAAATTAACAAAATCTTTTGAAATTCAAATATTTTTAAAAATTTCAACTTTAACTCTTACAAAATTATTATTTAAAAATCTGTAAAACTTGTTTAAGTATTGACTAAAATTTTTTTTGACCATAAAAATTAAAAACTATGACAACATTTTTAATTCGAATAAATTGCTTAAATCAGACTTCAGAAAATTATAAAAATGGAACTTTAAGAATTTTTTTTTTTTTTTAGAAATTTGTCCTACTTAAATAAAATTTTGAAAATTTGTCTTACAATTAGTTCGATTCTGAAATATTCGAAAATAAATTTTCTTGATAATACTCAGTATAGAATTATTCTAATTGCAGAATTAATAATATTAATTATTTAAAGTAAAATATCCATTAACCAATTCAATTTTGTTGAAATAAAAAAAAATCGACTTTTTCGACTTTTTTTGGGCCTTAAAGTTAATCCGAGGTCTGAAGTAATTTATTTTTGGGCGATTTTAAATTGAGACAATAATTAAATTTTCGAATAGTTACTAAGAAGATTTTTAGAATTAATTGAATATGCAGAAGAATTGAAATTTGGAATTGTTTGTAAATTTGAATTGCTGAAGATATTTGTTTACAAATTTTTAACAAAAATTTGAGTTTAATTTTAATTGATTTAAGTTTATCAAATCATCTAAATTTGATTTGATTTAAAGACTTCAGAAAATTATAAAAATGGAACTTGAAGAATTTTTTTTTAGAAATTTGTCGTACTTAAAATTTTGAAAATTTGTCTTACAATTAATTCGATTCTGAAATATTCGAAAATAAATTTTCTTGATAATATTCATTATAGAATTATTCTCATTACAGAATTAATAATATCAATTTAATTAATAATATTAGTTATTTAAAGTAAAATATCCATTAACCAATTTAATTGTGTTGAAATAAAAAAAATCGACTTTTTCGACTTTTTTTGGAATATAAATCGACTAAACCAACTTTTTTTGTGCCTGAAAGTCGATCTGGAGCCTGAAAATGGTAATATAAAGCAACATATGTAAATTAAAATTGAAATACAAAAATAAAAATATAGAATATAAAATTAACCAAGAAATGAATAAATTTCAATTATTTCATTTAAAAATTGAAAATTAATTTTTATTTATTTAATTATTTTCATCATAATTTAGAGAAATTTTTGATTACCTATTTGATTTTAAAATAATTTGAGTTTTATTATAAAATTTTCGAAGATATTTGTATTTATTTTGATTAAATATTTGAAGATAATTTTAAGTATTCGATTGAATAAGTTAAGAAAATTTTTGATATTTTCATAAAGAAATAATTAAAAAACATTTTTTTTTTTGAGTTACAATTTTCAAAACAATTTTGTTACTTCAAATTTTGAGAATTATTCTCAATTTTATTTAAATTTAATTTTGATTTAATTTAATTTTATTTTAATTACAAGTTATTTTTGTCTTCATTTTAAGCAATTTTATTGAAAAATATTTTTTTACTTTTAAAATTTACAATTTTGTTTTATTGATCATAAAATATATATATTTTTTTCACTTTATTAATATTTTTTTATTTCACTCATAGAGCATGGAGGTAAAGATCCAAATATGCCTGAGGAGGGAGCAAAAATTTTCAGTGACGATGAATTAGTACAATTAATTGAACCAATTTTACAATCGGATGACAGAAATCAAGATGGTTTCATTGATTATCCCGAATTTATTCGAGCTCAAGAGAAAAATGCCGCCAAATCAACTTGATGATTGAATTTTGCATAAAAGTGTGAAAAAAAAGAATATAATATAAGTTATTTTAATTCTAAGAAACAAATCGTGTTGACTCTTAATACCGCATACAGAAATTAAATATTATAACAAACAGGGATTTGCCACTAGATTTGAGAAAAAGTAATTTATTGCAATTTTAGGCAATTTGTACTTTATTAATGAAAACACTTTAAAAAATTAAAAAAAAAAACAAACAAACATTTTTGTACATTCTGAAGAATACTTTATAAGATTCAAGTTTTTTTTATTCTTTTTTTTGTTTAAAGTATGGGAATAAGGAATGAAATGGAATTTTGAATTTATTGTATTTTTAAGGGAACTGTATAAATGACATAAAAAATAAATTATATTTTAAGTTATAAACTTTAAGAGACTTTGAATGTTGCGCCGAAATGTTTTTCATTACTGCCTTGTATAATTGGTAAATTAAAACTGTTATTAAATTTAAAAAAAACATTAGTATATTTTTTTTCACTCATTTGAGAATTAAAAAAAAATATTCAACTATAATTAATTGAATACTTCATTAATTATTTAACATATAATTAATTGAATGAACTGAGAATTGAATTTAATTAATTACATTTCATTTATAATACTGTAGGTTTAAATTCCCCGCCTTTAAATGATTTTTAATCATTAGCCAATCATATTTCTTGTTACATTCCATTGAATCATTTAATTAATATTTAATAAATTTTTAACTAAAAAGTGTTATTTTTCAAATAAAAATTAAATTATACGATTAGTTAAAATTAATTGTTAAATTAAGAGACAGAAATAACAAATGTAAATAAAATTTCTAAAAAAAAATGGAATAAATTTTAAATTACCGCCAAAATGGTTTTCAACTATCCACCAATCATTGTTTATCAACATTCTTCTTGTTAATATAATTACTAATCAACAATTACCAAATAATTAATTAAATTCTCTGATTGCCGATTTTTGTGAATAATGTGAAAACGTTGTTAATTGAATATTGTTAAAAGTGAAAAAAATATAGAGACTATGAATTGCAGTTTATAAATAAAAATGAGAGACGCAAGATGGTTTGAGGGGGGTGGCGATGAACGCGCCATCTCATGAAAACAAAAATGGTGGCCAACAATATTCCCTATCCCTGCTCTTTAGCACGCCAAATGTCTGCGATCTCTTGCTTTCTGTATATTATGATTTTTTCATTGTGCAGTATATTCATTTTCAATGTGAAAAAGAAGATTTCTGATAATTCTGCCGCGCCCATATTATCAACATTATAAATTGGGCAGCGTCTAACCAAAACAGAAGAAGAAGGTGATTCAAAACTCCAATATTTTCCGTAAATATAACCATACTATAATGATTCGTCATGTCATTCTCCTTATGTAATGAAATTATCCACATTTTGAGAATTGTAAAATTTATAATTGAATGACGCGTTATTGCTTTATTTAGAAAATTTTCATTTCCAACATTTCATCACAATTCGTCTCTCTTCAAGAAACACATGTTTACATTTTATAAACATTAGAACAATATCTTTATAAACATTGTCTTGTTTTATTTATTTCATCATTATTTTTGCTCACGAGCATGTAAAAAGTTATTCTACATAAACTTGTGAATAGTGTTGTTTCATTATTATTAAATTTTTTGTCGAAAATTGTTATTGAATAGAGTAGTTGATATATATATCTATATATATCTATATAATGTATTAGTTTATTTGAACGATTTGGAGTAATATTATTATTATTTTTTCTTTTTTTTTTTATTTGAGTTTAATTTAATATGTTTATTATTTCTCTAATTTGTATTGTTTGAACAGTATAATGGTGAAGAAATTTTGATTTTTTTCCAAAGTTATTATTGATTATTTTATTTCTGAATTGTTTTTTTTTTTTTTTTAGAAAATATAAAATTTCGATTATGACTGATCGAAATCGAATAATGGGGATGGATCCTGAGATGGCAGCTCCATTGCATTTGCAACGATTAGAGCGAAGTGTTAATGTTCAGCCTTTTTTATCACAAATAAATGATCTTTTTCGAGATCGTGTCAGGTATATTAATTTGTAATTTTATTTATCACTCTTAAGTTTTTATAATCCAATATTGATCTTATCGATTTTTGATATTTTTATTCTAGCAATGAAGACAACGAATCGTCAGAATCTTCTGATGAATCTGGAACATATCTTGAAGATATCTTGACACAGAAAGAGGGTTCGTTTAACTTTTCTAAATTTTTATTTACACTATTTTTTTGTTTTCATAAAATTTGTTAAAAATTTATAATTTTTTTAAATTATAATAATTATAATATTTATATAGTTAAAGTTTAATTTTGATTATTAATAATTTCAGAGGAAAGAATTAATAAACTTCGTTTGTATAATATGAGTAATGTAGGAGACGAACGAAGATGGTTACAGGATGTTCTTCTGAGTGAAACATCCGATAGTTCATCAGAGGAATCAGATACAGATGGACCAATAACGGAAGATGATTTTCAAGATATGTTAAAATTTCACATTCTTAGGAAAAAGTATCAAGCTCGTTTCTATCAAAAGCAAGAGGTATGATTCGTCAAATAATTTTTTTTTACTTACAGAACTAGAAGAGTCAGGGTGTCTAACGGTCAGGGAAAAGTCAGGGAATTTCTTTAATTTTCTGGAATTTTTTTTATAAATAAATTAAAGTAACTATTAGTTTCAAAAAAAAATTTTTTTTACTTTTTTCCCAAAGCAAATACAAATTAAAAATTTGGCTTTCACATTCAATTATTAAGTATGTGATATATCTTATATTCATTAAGTAAATAATTACTACTATTTATTGAATCTAATAAATGATTTTTTAAACTTGGATAAAAAATTTTTTCAGTAAAATATTTGGTTTTTTAATATAAATAAAAATTATTTAATACAATTTTATTTTATCGGTTCAACTTCAAGTAAAGTAAATTATTCATTAATACGAATAATTTATTATTTAATGCTAATACCCACATTTAATTTATAAAAATTTGTACGACGTCGAATATTAAATTATCGAATTTCTATTTAGCAAACTTGTATAAAATGGATTTTATATTATGCAAAATTTTTCAATTTACATTTAACTAAAATTCGATTTAAAAGAATTTCTATTTAGCAGAACTCTTATAAAGCATTTTTTCTAATACTTTTTTTAAATTAATATAATTTCAATTTAACGAAATTTTGTGTCTATAAAAATTGACAAAAAAAAAAGAACTAGATAGAATTTTTCTTAAATGAGAATTCTGTTAAATAAGAATTAGTTGGAATTAAAATTTTCTTTAATAAAAACTTTGTTAATTAAGAATTTTTTTAAATAGAAATTCTGTTAATTGTGAATTTATTCAATGACAATTTTGTTAAGTAAATATTTTGATAAATCGTAATTTAATAAAATAACAATTTTGTTAAAAAAATTTTTCTTTATGCAATTTTTCTTGACATAAATTCCGTTAAATTGAAATTATATTAATTTGAAATTCGATGTACTAGAAAATCTGCTTTATATAATTTTACTAAATAAAAATTTGTTAATTTAAGATTTGACACCGTAAAAATTCTTTTAAATTAAATGTTGAGATTATTTATACGTCCTCAATTTATACGTACTTCAGCTTCGTTTATAATGATTATACAAGGCAAATAAGTAAACACAAAATAGCCACAAATCAGGAAAAAAAATATTTTTGTTAGGGAAATAGGAAATTTAAGAAATTTAAGAAAACAGAAAAAAAGTCAATTATATACTGCCAACATGCATAAAAAGTTTTAATAATTTTTGCCTCTAAAAGGAATCATATGTTATCAAATATTCTTCTTCTTTTCATTTTATCTTTTCTATATAAATGATTCAATTAGCCCATGTTTAAATTTATCAAAATTTTTTATTTATTTAAAAATTATTTTGGCCAAATTTCAATAAATCTGAATTTAAATTAGTTGCAGGATTTACTGATTAAAATTGTAATTCTAATTCTAATTCTAATCAATCACCAATTGAATCAATCTAAAATTCAATGTATCCAAATTTGAATCTGTTCAAATTTTAATTCATTCACATTTCAATTTTATTTAATTTTATTCGATTCAAATTCAGAATTACCAGAAGTCAGGGAATTTAAAAAAAAGTGCTGGAAAAATATAGTAAACTCTTTATATTTGCTATTATAAGGTACCTAAAATTTGCATGTGTTAAAAATAAACTGCAAATGAATCTTAATTTTAATTTAAATTTCAAGTAATTCAATTTTCAAATAATTCTAATTTATATTAGTCAAAACGGATTTATTAAATACAATTTTAATAACATGCAAATTCAATCTATAAAAGTTAAAATTAACGAAATTTTAATTTATCTAAAGATTAATCGATTTAAGTTTCAAATTATTTGAATTTCACTGGTGTTCATGATTTTTCATTAAATGAATTTTTACTTAATACAATTTTTAGGTACTTTTTATTTGACAGAATTTTTATTTTTCAAGAAATTCACTTTATCTCATTTGTTTTTCTTTTTTTTTTTTTAATTGTAATTTAGCAGAGTTCACATTCAATAGAATTGTATTATGATTCGAATTTTTAAATACCAAAATTTACAATTCACCGAATTTTCATTTGTTTGAATTTTTATTTCATAGAATTTTTTGAAACGATAAATTTTTGATGATAATGTAAATAATCGACAAAAAAATTTGAATGCGATTTTTAAAACTAACCAATTAAAAATTGTCAGTAAAATTGTGATTTGTTAATTTTAAAAATTACACTAACATCTTTCTGTCGATTGTTTTTTCGTCCAATTGTAATATTTTGGACAAACTAAAATTCGCCGTTTTAAGAATTCTATTAAATAAAAATATTGGTGCAAATAAAAATTCGTTGAATTTGCAATTCTGTTGACTGAGAATTATGTTAAATTAAAATTGGGCTCAATTAGAATTCTTTTAAATAAAAAGATTTGAAAAATTTGAAAATTTTAAGATTTTAATTAAAAACAACTGAGAAAATATCAAAAAGATATAAATTTGTTTAGAAAATTTCAACTTTAAAAAAAAAAAGAGAAAAATAATTAGGAAATAAATAAATTAAATTTTTGTGGCAAACAATTCCAGTTATTTTATGTAAGATAATATATGACAATAATTTTAATTATTTTCTTGATTTTTTGTAGATAATTTTAATTACTTAATTAAGTACATTTCCTGATATTTCCACTTATTTTATTAAATATTTAGAGAAACTAAAGAATTATATTTAATAAAATTGAAGAATTACAAAATAAAATTATTTTATTAAATGTTTAAGGATAATTTCAATAATATGATTGAATAAATGCAGATATTTTCAATTGATTTAATATTTGATGACAATTTTAATTATTTATTTAAAAATTTGAGGATAGTTTTTGATTAAAAATTTGAAGATAAAATTTAAATTATTTGTTTTAGTAATTAAAGATATTTTTAATTAGATACGTTTTGAAATATTTTAGGATACTTTCAATTAATTAATTAAATAATTGAGTATATTTTTCAAAATTATTTTCAAATTTGAAGATAATTTCAATTTTTTTTTTAAATTTATTATATAAAGAATTTAACGAATTATGATATTTTTTTTATTAATTTAACATTCTGAAAATTATTATAAATTCAAGTCTTGATAATTATTCTAACTTAAAAATTCTTTTGTATATTTTAATCAAGACGATTCTATAAATGAATAGTAATAATGATAATAAAATATTAATTAAATAATTAAATTTATTTAAATTAATTATTAATTAATTATTTATTTTAATCTATTTATTTATCTTTTTTATATATTAAAATTTTCGACATATAATGGATCCGAGACTTGCATTTTTATGTTTTTATCATTAAAACAATATTATAAATTTCTTTATAGAATATTCAGTATCAGTATTATGGTGCTGGATTATTATCAAGTTACGATAGATTTCCGGAACATCAAAAACTCATAGTTGGAAATAAAAAGAAAAAGGAGAGAAGACCTGATACTAAAGTTGTTAAGATTAAAAAGGAAAAGGGAGGAAGGCAAAAAGTTCCCGATGATAAGGTGCGAATAATAAATATTTTGATAAGCAATTTTTTTTTATATTTATATAATTTAAATGTAATAATTTATTTGTCTAATTTTTTTTTTATAGTACAATTATCCCGAGGATGATTGGGAACGAAGTGGAATAAAAGATGAAGAATTGGATGAGACTGATTTGGAAGCTGCTATGAAATTTCAGTCACGTGGTCGCGGTAGAAAAAAGCATAATAATAAAAGTCCCGAAGTAATGGCAATGAGAAGAAAAAAGATTTGGATAATGATGTCAAAAAAGGAACTTGGCAAAGTACAAAGAGCAAAAATTAATAATCATAAGGAGATGTTAATTAGTTGTAAAAAAGTAGCTCAACATTGTATGAAATATTGGAGACAAAAGGCAATGCAGGTAAGAAAAAGATTTTTTTTTCGTTATATATATATATTTTCAAATGCTTTATTATACAAATATTTTATTTATTTTGATTTATAAAATCAAAAATCAACGTTCAAAAATTGGAGCAAAAAAAAGTAAATAAAATAAAAAATTTATATTTTCTATTTTAGTCACAGAAAAACATGAAGGAAACAATTTGGCGGGCAAAGAGATTAACAAGAGAGATGCAATCTTATTGGAAACGATATGATCGTGTTGAACGTGAAACAAGAAGAAGATTAGAAAAAGAAGCTGAGGAGCAACGAAAAATGGATGTGGAAATGATTGAGGCAAAACGACAACAAAGAAAATTAAATTTTCTTATCACACAAACTGAACTTTATGCTCATTTTATGTCACGAAAAGTGGGTAAAGTTTACACTGAGGAGCAAATGAGAATTTTAAATCAACTCGATGAAGAAAAGAATCCCAGATTAATTGGAATCGATGATTATAATAGGTAGAATACAATTTAAAATTTTTATTCACTAATTTCAAAAATTAACATTTTTTTTCTTTTTTAATTTATTAAATGTTTTATTACAAAAATATGTAAGTTTTTTTTTTTTTTTTTGGTTTCACTTTTAGCGAAAGTATGAAACAAAAAGCTAAGAGAAATGCAACGGAAGCATTTGATAGTGAAAGAGCGAGAACAAGACAATTTGACACATCAATAGGTAATCAAGAATTACGATTAAGTGATACACCTGAAACGCAGGAACATCCTCAACCTGCGATTTTCAAAGGGAATCTTAAGGGTTATCAATTAAAAGGCATGAATTGGTTAGCAAATCTTTATGATCAGGTTTGTATTCTTTTAAAGTAATTGAAATGTTTAATTTTAATATCTAGTTTCAAAATTAGAAAAATAAAATTATTTTCCATTTTCTTTTCTTTTTTAAAAGGGTATCAGTGGAATTTTAGCTGATGAAATGGGTTTAGGAAAAACAGTGCAATCAATAGCATTCTTGTGTCATGTAGCTGAAAAATATTGTAAGTAATAAATTTTTTAATAAATAAAATTATTAATTATAATAAAAAAAATGTTGGCAAAAATTAAATAAGTCGAAATAAAATAATAATAAAAAGTGTATTAGAATAAATTTGATATATAAAATGTTAAATAAACAGGCCTTGGATTATTTTATACGATTTTTTCTGACTTTTTTCGACTGTATTTAAATAAGATGCGATTTTTTCCGATGCCTGAATAAATAAAATAAGATCCTTAAGATTTAAGAAAACAAAAAAAAAATTGTTCTTTGCAGCTGTTTGGGGACCGTTTTTAATTATTTCACCAGCGTCAACGCTGCACAATTGGCAACAAGAAATGGCAAGATTTGTCCCTGGATTTAAAGTTGTTCCCTATTGGGGAAATCCACAGGAGAGAAAAATTCTTCGTCAATTCTGGGATACCAAAGATTTACATACAAAAGAAGCTTCTTTTCATGTCGTGATAACAAGTTATCAACTTGTAATTACTGATTACAAATATTTCAACAGAATCAAATGGCAGTACATGATTCTTGATGAGGCTCAAGCCATTAAAAGTACAAGCAGGTTGGTTCATTTTTTTTTTTCTTAATTTTTAATTTCTTTTTTATTTTTTGTTAAATATTTAATTTTTTTGTTTTCTTTATTGTTTTTTTTTTGTTAATTATTATTTATTACCTTTTCTTTTATTTTTATTCATTAATACATAAAAGTATTAATTTCTGAAAATGTTCTTTAGTTTGTTGATTTGTATTAAAAATTATTAATTAACAAAAAAATATTTGCAATTTACAAAAGCATTAAAAAGTATAATTTAGATTTATAAGCAGCATAATATTCTAATATTCTTGTAAATATTGTATTTCAAAAATATTTTCTTTCTTTTTTAATAAAAAATTGTAAGCATAAATTTCCTGTTTCTATTAATAAATTATTAATTCTCTCTCTTTTTTTTGTTTTTCTTTAGTATGAGATGGAAACTGTTGCTGGGCTTCAGTTGTAGGAATCGACTTCTTCTGAGTGGAACACCTATTCAAAATAGTATGGCAGAACTTTGGGCTTTGCTTCATTTTATTATGCCAACATTATTCGATTCCCATGATGAATTCAATGAATGGTTTTCCAAAGATATTGAAAGTCACGCTGAAAATAAAACAGGAATCGATGAAAGTAAGTGATTTTTAAAGGTTAATTTACAAAAAAAAAAATTATTATAAGTAATGTTAATTTATATTATATAATAATAAGAATTAGGATTAGATTTAAAGTATTTAAGTATTAATTATGAAAATAGTTTATTTATTTATTAAAATCTTGTCTTTTATTTTCTATTATTTCTCACCGACAATTTTTTTTTTTACACTTTTTTCAATTGATTCTGAATAATCATTTGTATGGATTTTGAAATATTTCAATTTTTTCAAAAAATTTAATTTCTAAAAAATTAAAAATAATTTACGAAAACCTAGTGAACCAGGAATCCGGGAATTATTTTTCATGTAAAACATTTTTTTATATTGATAGAAAAAAAAATTATAATTTCAATTTATTGCTTACTGTAAAAGTATAGTTTAATATTGAATAGTATTACTATTACAAATAATTTGTATATAAAATGGTTTAAAAAAAAAAAAAATTGCCACCGGAACAATCTCGATCTTGTGATAGCATATAACTTTAAAATGTTTACCAGCGTTTGAGATCGCTTAGAAATAATAATAATTGTTGAGGGTCGCTAGAAGCCCTCGCCTCACTCTCCAGGGATCTGCACGACTGAGAGGATATTCCTGTCAGTCATATCAGCCACTTGAGGTCCGTTAACAAATTTGATATATTGTAATATTTTTCAGAGCATTTATCGCGATTGCACATGATCTTGAAACCCTTCATGCTGAGAAGAATAAAGAAAGACGTGGAGAATGAACTTTCTGACAAGATTGAAGTCATGGTCTATTGTCCTTTAACAACACGACAAAAACTTCTTTACTCCGGTAAAAATATCCATATTACAATTAAATTAATATATGTTAATTAATTCATTTATTTTGTAACTAATTTTCAAAATTTCTCAATTTGAAAACAATATTATGGTACATTTTTAATTTATTAAAATTAATTTTTTTACATTATTAATTAATCATTGTAAAAATTGATTGGGGTACACTTTTTTTAAAAAATTTTTTTTTCTAAAAGTTGAATTTCTAATCATTTTTTTTTTTAAATGAAGATTATTTTCTAAAAACTATATTTTCCAATAAAGTTGAATTTCTAATAATTTTTTTTTTTCTAATAAAGATAATTTTCTAAAAACATTTTTTTCTCATAAAGTTTAATTTAAAAAAATTTATGTCTAGGATTTTTTCATCTAAAACTTTTTGAAAAAATAATAATAAAATAATATATAATAATAATAATAATAATAATAATAATATAAAAATAATTTGAAGTTCAATTATTTTTAAAAATACGAATTGTAAATGTTGAAAAATTCAATTGAATTTCGAAAAGGGCTCAACTGTAAGAGCCGTGAGTCATTTTCACTATTCTTTATTATGGGAAAATGAAACTTACGGAAAACAAATTTAATTTATTAATTAATATAGTAAATAATGTCTACTTATTTGTATCTTCTGCTCATTAGAAAAAAATAACTGATTTTGTGAATTTAAAATTTCTTTTTAGCTCTAAAGAAAAAAATAAGAATAGAGGATCTACTTCATTACACGGTTGGTGGAGGAGATTCGATGCCAACTGATAAAAATTTCACATCCAATTTGATGAATTTAGTTATGCAATTTCGAAAGGTTAGATATTATTAAATACGCATATTTGAATATAAAAATTTATCAATTTATCAATTATTTATATAATTTTTGTTTTTCTTTTTTTTTTTTCTCTTTTAATACAGGTTTGCAATCATCCGGAACTTTTTGAAAGACGTGATGCACGATCACCATTGTTTATGAAAACAGAATCATATGAAATGCCAGTTCTTTTGTATATAAACGGAATTTTGAAGGAGTCGTTGCCATCTAAAAATCATTTGTTGTACAATAAATTTTTTATTTTCGCAACAGAATACATTCATAGATCTCTATTTTGCGAGGAGAATGAAAATTCGTGTTTTTCATTCTCTCGATTGATTGATATCTCACCAATGGATTTGAATAAAATGTTCATTATCGGCATTTTCTTCAGGTAAGTGGATCACTTATTTTCTATTTTTTTCTTTGTTTTAGAATTAAAATTAAATTAATTATTAAATTAAAATCATAATAATTAAATAAATAATTATATTTTGCTAAGTAATAATATTAATTTACATTTTAATTAAAGAATGAATATTAATTTAAAATCTATTATTAAGAGGAGGCAATAGTTTTATTTTGATCCCTTTAATTTTTAATTATAGCACAAAGTTTTATTTGAAAAATTAACATTTGAATAATGTTCATTAGGCTCTGTAGAGCAGCACTTTTGGAGAAAAAAATGAGATTAAAAAGACATTGGGAGGATTGGAGGATCGACGAAAGCGATTCGGAACCTTTAAATATAATTGGCATTTTAAAGCGAAAAATTGAAACAACAACACCAGTGACGAAAGATTTAATTTTTACAAGAAAAATTATTGCCGGTGAAGCTTTCTACACTAATACCACACATTCAATTCACTCAATGCCCGAAACTGTTTCTCATCGAATTTTAAGGAGCAGTAAAGCATCCAAGGATCCATTAAAGGTATATATTGTAATTAAAAAAATTTTATTCTTCATATTAACATTTTTTATACAGAAAAAAACTATTTGAAAAATAATTTACTATTATTTTCATTAATTTTTTTTTTCTAATAATTATTTTGTTGTTGATTGTATTTGTAAAATTTTATTTCGATATTCGATTCGAAAAGTTGGAAAACAAAAAATTGTTAATTAAAATTGTAATTTCAATAAAATATTAATTTACTTATATTTTAGTTGCAGAGGGCAATTGTCGCCGTGAAAACGGAACTAGGAGAAGAATCAAAATTGACTTTATTGCCGGAACATCCTCATACTCCTCGTGTTCCTATTTTGCGATATTGTCAACAAACTTATCTACCATCTTTCCTTTGTGACACTAATCCAAAAGTAAGAAATCATAATTTTTATTTTTCCTGTTTAATAATTCTTTTATTCATTTTAGAATTATTTCTTTATTTTATTCTTTATTTCATAATTAATTAATTATGTAAAAATCTTTTCAATCTCTTAACGTTTTTTTTTTTTCAATATATTTGTTTTTGAAAACTAGGTTCATGCTAGTCCGAGAAAACTTTATGTGAGTAATAGTAATGCGTCTTGTGCGTGGAGAAGACATGAGGAATGTGGTGGACTTCTTGGACAACGAATATTATGGATGGGATGTGAAAAAGCCTTCAATTTATCACCTTATGAAGAAAAACTTGCACCAAGAATGATATCTACGTCATCGACGTTTTCTTATCAACAAATTGGTGGTCTTGCCGTTTGTACACCTGTCAATGGATGGTCTAATATCATTGTTCCAGGTTCGTATTTTTATTTATTAATAAATAAATAAATTAATTAATTAATTAGTAGTAGTAGTAGTAGTAGTAGTAGTATTTATTTTCTCTTGTATACTATGTACATAGTTTTTACATCTTAAAATCCCTTACATTATTATAAATAATTTTAAATTTAAATTTAATAACAAATTTTTTACAAAAAAAATTAATAAATAAATTAATTTAATTAATTAATAAAATTAAATTAATTTTTTACATTATCAAAAATTAAATAAGCTTAAACTCTACATATCTTTATTTAATAAAGAATTATTATTATTTTTAAACCTTACACAGTTAAGTTCTGCATTATTGAATGCTGTATACATTTATTTAATAAATAAAAAATTAATTTTTTCAAATTCTACACAGTTAAATTGCTCAACTTTAAAACCTTACACGATTAAAATAATTTCTATTATTTAATTTTAAAATTACAATTTAAAAAAAAAATTAAATTTTTTTTCAAGATATTTATTTACAAAAATGTTAAATACATAATCGAGTTCATCAACCGTTTGTAAATTTAACTAAGTAATTGAAGTTTTGTAAAATTTGATTACAGATTTTTAAAATGATTTAATTTTTTTTTGCAGCAATAAATATTTTACACAATTTTCACTTGTGAAATTTTAATATTTGAAATATTTGAATACATGAAAAACTTTCTATAAAGTAACAAGTAACATTTAAAAAAAAATGTTTAAAAAGCAATATTTTTAATATCTAAATTGTTGAAATCAGTAAATTATCAAAGAAATTCATAAAAAAAATTGTTAAAAACCACAAAACTTGCAAAGAATTAAAAAAATTAAAAGATTTGAAATTTAAAAAGGTTTATGAATAATATAACTATTTAGATTTAATATAAATAATTCATTTCTAAAATGGTTGCAATTGAAAGTATTTGACATTAGTTTAAATAATTTGAAATTAAAAATTTGCAAAAGTAATTCAATTTTCAAAAAATTTATTTTGAATTATTTCTATTATTTTATTTTAAAAATGCAATTTTTGAAAATTATTTAATGTTTCAAGATATTTAATTACGAGGATGTTAAAAATAATTGAAATTTTGTAAAATTTGATTGCAAATTTTTAAAATGATTGAATTTTTTAAAGAAGTTAATGAAAATTTAGAAAAATATATACCTACATTATTTTCGAAAAATTTTAATGGAAAATTATGTAAATAATTGGATTAATATTATGTATTTAATAAAAATCAGGATTTTTTTTTATATCAAGTTGAAATTACATAATGATGGAAACAATTTATTTTTGTAAAAATTTATGAAATTATATTTTCTGTTTAAAAAAATTAATTGATAGAAAATGTAAAAGCTTTCTATTTTTTTTTTTTTGTAAATAAATATTTGTATTTATATTTGTATTTGTAAATATTGTTTTTTTAATTACAGATAAGCAAACATTGGTAACTGATGCTGGCAAACTTTCTGTACTTGACAGCCTTTTAAAAAGACTTAAAGAACAAGGTCATCGAGTTCTTATTTATTCTCAAATGACAAAAATGATTGACTTATTAGAGGTGAGTTTCTAATCTATTTTGTACATTAATTTAAATAATTTCCATTAAATTATTTGTCAATTATAAAAAAAATTTATAATCAGTACATTAAATACAGTAAAATAAATATAAATAATATATTTAAATAATCAATATTAGTAATAAATAAAATTAATATAAATAATAAAATAATAAAAATAAATCAAAATATTAGTAAGACAATAATAAATACAATTGAAGTTTAAATTAATTTTTAAAAATTTAATTAAATGTAGGTGTGAGTTCTTAAATTTTTCATTGTTCAACCTTTTTTTGTTGTTTAGGAATACATGTATCACAGAAAACACACATTTATGAGATTAGACGGTTCTTCGAAAATATCTGATCGTCGGGATATGGTGGCAGATTTTCAAAAAAGGTAAAATCAATTTATTGAATTTTTTTTTATTTCTATAAATATCATTGAACATAATTTAAATGAAATTTAAAATTCTTTTAATTTTTCTTTCTAAAATATATTTATACATAAATAGTTAAATAATATTCTTATTATTAGTATTTAAATTTTCATTTAAATATTCAAATTGGATTTTGATGTAAATATTTGAAAATTAGTTTTTTATTCAAATTTTTGTTAATTAATTATTCAATTGTTGATTTTAAATGTTAATTTCCATGAAATTAAAAGCTCAATAACTTTGCCAAGTCTTTAAAAAGGGAATTGTTATTGTGTAAATTCTCAAAGTGCATTAGAACCCTAATTCATTTACATACAAATACATAGTATAGTTTGCTCGCACGTTAAATCTGCACTTTTCATGTTACAGAGCGGACATATTTGTCTTTCTACTAAGTACGAGAGCTGGAGGCCTGGGAATTAACCTGACGGCCGCAGACACGGTTCGTATACATTATCAAATTCACTTTTTATTCTTTCATGAAATAAAAATACCCCGAGTCAAATGAAAAAATTGTAAAAAAAAACAACAACTTTAGATTTAAAATTTTGCAAAACCTATTTAATTTATTGTAAAAAAAAAAACAATTTCTTTATGGTAATTTATTAGTTTAATTTACTTAATTTTATTTACTGATTTTGTTTTTCTTATTTATCATGATATAAATTTTATTATTTAATTAAATATAAATTTATTATATTAGTGAATTAATTAGAAAATTAATTATTCAATTAGATTCAATCACAATTAGAATAATAATTAACAATTAATAATAATAATAATAATTTATCTTTGTTTCCGTTAATATAATCGAGGATCGAATAATTTTTGGCTTTTGAAAACAAGGAAATGCTATAAATTTTGTTTCCTGATATGAAATCTGGAATCGATCTAACAAATCTGATTTATTTAACGGCATTATATTCTCGGCTATATCTATTTCATCGAAATTAAACTGTCTAGAATATAATTTATTCTATTTTTATAAGCAAATTTTTAATTTTAATTTGACTATAATTTCTTATTATTTATTTATTATTAAATAGATATTCTTATTTAACTTTTTTAATAAAATTAATTAGAAGAACTTTATCACTATCGATACAAATAAGACATCAATTAATTGTAATTTATTTTTTAAATTATCAAAATTAAAACGAAAATTACTTTTCACATTTTAGAATTTTTATATTTTGGAAAAAATGAAATTTAATTTTTTTAATCTATGTGATAAATTGTTCCGAATTATGAAAAAAGTATTTTTAAAAAATGTCAATTGTAATTAATAATAGTAATAGGTAATTGTGGAAGAATATGAATTTTTAAAAATATCACAAATTTCAACTGCAAAAAGTCGCGATAATTTTTAACATAAAAATTTCCATGTCAGAAGTATCAGTACTTTGACATTCGACTTTAAAAACTTTTTATTAACTAATAAATTTTATTTCTTATTTATAATTTTCAATAATAATGGAAAATAAATTATAATCTCTAAATAACGTAAATTTTTGGTAGATTGAATCTTTACTGATCTCATTACTTTAATTAACGAATAAAATAAAAATTAAATTTGCCAGGTGATTTTCTACGACAGCGATTGGAATCCAACAGTAGATCAGCAAGCAATGGATCGAGCTCATAGATTGGGTCAAACCAAACAGGTCACTGTTTATCGATTAATTTGCAAAGGCACCATAGAAGAAAGAATTCTTCAAAGGGCTCGAGAAAAGAGTGAGGTACTTAAAAATTTTATAATTTATAAAACTTTAATTAAATATTAACTAGAAAATTAATAATAATAAATAATAATAATAAATAATAATAATTTGTATCTAATTAACAATTAATACCTAATTGATAATTGGTAATTAATAATTAGTAATTAATTATTTATTTATAATGAGTAATTATTAATTAATTTTTTAAATACCTAATTATAAAAAATTGTATCATTCATCACTATAATTAATTATTTATTATTTTTATTTTATATATTTTTTATATTATTTTTATTTTATTACTTTTTTATTATTAAATTTAGAAAAAAAATTTTTTTTTTAAATTAAATATTTCGACTAAATAAATAAATAAAATTTTTTTTTTAGATTCAACGAATGGTAATTAGTGGAGGTAATTTTAAGCCAGACACCTTGAAGCCGAAAGAAGTTGTTTCACTTCTACTCGACGATGAAGAAATTGAAGCTAAATGTAAGTAACTGTAAATAACCGATAAAGTGAAACAAACGAACTTTAAATTAGTTACTTCCAGTTTACTGGAAATGAAGAAGGGTATTTATAAGAAACGAATTTTTAATTCGTTACTGGTCACTTTTAATTTACTGAAAAAAAAGGAAAACTTTCATTAGTATCACAATTTAATTAAGTAATTAACTTAATTAACTTATTGAAGAGAAATTTTCATTTATTATTTTTAATAACACAGTTATTTTATATGATTATAATTCAGAAAAGTTGGAAAATAGCAAAATCTAATTTATTTTTATCTAATTTGGCATTTTTTTTCTATTATTAGTAAATTCAGAACTATATTTTCTTTTAAATAGCAAAGAAAATTCAATTTTAAATTATGTATTTAATTATGTGATACAAGGCCTCGGATCGACTTTAGGGCGCAAAAGAAGTCGTTTTAATAGATTTTTTATTTTAACTAAATTTAATTACTGAATAAATATTTTACATTAAATATCTAATGTTATTAGATATTAAATTCATTTTATTAAAATAAGAATAATTCTATAAGCATATTATCAAGAAAATTTATTTCGAATGTATTTCGGAATTGAAGTAAGACAAATTTTCAAAAATTTTAATTGAGTAGGACAAATTTCTAAAAAAAATTCTTAAAGTTCCATTTTTAAAATTTTTTGAAGTTTGAAATTTTTTTAAAAATAACTGAATTGCAGAAGATTTTAAATTTTAATATAAATTTTCTGCAAATTTAAAATGCTGTGGTTTTTTTTTTTTAAATTTTTGTCAACAATTCAATTTTAGAGTTTTTATTTGAAACTTTTTTGGAATAATTGAATTTTTAAATAATTATTATAATTATAATTATTTAAGTGATTTTTAATTGAAATTTTTGGTTATTTCTGTTGATGAAGAATTGATTAGAAATTACAAATAAAAATTTTGCCCGTATATTTTCAATAAATAAATAAATAAAAATTGAATTTCAAAAGCTTTCAATGTGATAAATACTTTCAGATAATTGAATTTTTAAATAATATTATAAAAATCATTAAAAATAATTGTATTTTGAAAGAGTTACAATTTTTAGAAATAAATGAATTTCAAAAGTTTTCTGAAAATTCAAAAAAAAAAAAATTAAATTTTACAGAATTGAAAATAATTTATCAAGTAATTTTAGGTAAAATTTTTTAAATATAATTAAATTATCGAAGATTTACAATTTGTATTTGTGAAAATAATTGAACTTCAAGTGATTTTTAATTGAAATTTTTGGTCATTTCTGTTGATGAAGAATTTATTAGAAATTATAGACAAAAATTGAATTTCAAAAGTTTTTAATTTGAAAAATTCTTTCAGATAATTGAATTTTTAAAGAATATTATAAAAATCAATAGAAATAATTGAATTTTGGAAGAGTTATAGTTAAAATTATTATATTTCAGAATATTTTAGATGGACAATATTACATTAGAAATAATTGACATTTACAAGATTTAAAATTGATTTTTTTTTTGAAAATAATTGAATTTCAAGTGATTTTGAATTGATATTTTTGGCAAATTTTATTTGTTGATTTTTTTTTTTTAATTTTAAACAATTATTAAATTTTATAAAATTTTTAATTGAAAAATAGTTTATGATAATTGTATTTTTTAAGAAATTTAATTAAAATTATTGAAAATAATTAATTTAGAAAATAATTATAGTTAAAAATTTGTTAAATAATTGAAATAAAAAAGATATGAAAAAAAATTTGTATTTTATACTATTTTTATTTTTTAAATGTAAAAAAAAGTCGAAAAATTATTAAAATAAATTGAAAAAAGTAGTATTTTCGAAAAAAAAGTCGTATAAATCCGAGGCCTGAATCTATTCATATATATAATTAATGTGAAATTATTTATCAAGATCAATCATTTAATATCAATTATGAAGATCAATCATTAAAAAACTCTTTTAATATCAATTATCGAGATCAATTTATCAGAATTAATTATCAATTGTCTCAATAAAGTCAAAGAAGGAGAATTTTCCTTTTTTTTTTTTCATTCATTTGAAATGCGCAAGTTATCGTGAAGTATTAATTTGTTGATTGGGAAAGTGTTCGATGAATGAAATCGGAGCGTTCTAGAACAATTACCAAATGTAACGATCAGAAGTCCAGTTCTCATTGAGTATGCTTAAGTGCATTGGGAGATAGGGTCGGTCGATGAGGACGATGGCATGCATACCACACGCAATTACATTATGCTCGTTAGGTTATGCTAATGTCCTAATAACGAAAAATAATAATAACAAGAAGAAGAAGCACAAGTAATGAAATGTGTTACCCTCGTGTATAAATATATATATATGTGTGTGTGTGTGTTTGTATATTGCAGACAGTCAACGAAGCGAGGAGAGAAAGCAGAACACGGAGGAGACTCGCCTTGAGTTAAGTCTACACCACAAGGAGAGGGACCGGAAGAGGAAGCAAACCGCGCTTCCGGTCAAGGTAAGCCCGCGCCCTTATACATATATATGTATATACAATTTGACGTTCGGTTCTTTTCTATTTCACTTCTTTACTCAATTAACAATTCTTTTCATTCAATTTATTTTTAAATTCTTTGATTTATTTCTTTGATTTTTTTTTAATACTTGGAAAATGGAAATTTGCATGACAAATTGTTACATAACTAAATTTATTCATGAATGAATTAAAAGTATTATTCATTGATAATAAGAATAAAAAGTTATTCATTTATAAAATAATTTCTTATGAATTTTAATTTTATTAAATTAACAATTAATAATGATAATTAATTTATTGAATTCTTCAAATTTTTCTATTGATATTCCTAAAATTTTCTATTTTTCTTTTAATTTATCTTCCAAATTTCTTTTACATTTTTCTATAATTCTTGTGTATTTCTTTCTTTCTCTATTTTTTTCAATTTTTCATTCGAATTCTTTTCTTTTTTTTGGGTGAAATTTAAAAATTCTCAAACTTTTTCAATTTCTTCGACATTTTATTTTCCTTTCATTTTTCTTAAATTCTCGTGGTTTTTTTTTTCTTTCTCAAGTTTTTTCTGTCAAATCTAATTTTTCAATTTCTCCCTCAAGTATATTTTAGAAATTTTTAAAACCATATGCCCTAATTGATAAGTAGCTGGAAGATTTAAGAAAAAGTAAATTAAACCAAAAAAAAGAACCGGAAAATAGTATACACCCTTGTGTTAATTCTTGAGTATTTTTTTTTTTTAATATAATTATTTATGTCGTAATTTATTAAGTTTCATGATAATAATAATTTAAATGATTAAAAATTAAATTAATTAATTGTATTAAAAATTTTATTTTCAACAGAATGAAGCGAAAAAGCCGTGTTTAGAAGAAAATGATATTTTTAACACAAATGAATTAACGCAACCTGTTCAGAAATTGGGATCGAATCCAAATAAAATACAACGTTGTCCACAACAAAATAATCATCAAAATCTTCAAATCTCTGATTTTACGAATGACATTGGAAATCCTGGGAGTCCTGAAAAATCTGAGGTTTGTATCTTCATTATTTACTGCATAATAATTACATTATAGAAAAAAAAAATAATAAATATTGATATTGGTTCTTTTTTTCATATAAAAAAGAAGCGACATTTATATCCACCTCATTTATTAAGAATTTCATTTTTATTCATCGATTGAATTCGTTTATAAATAATAAAAATAAAATCCCCTTTTTTGAAATTAAGTTCTTTGCTTGAAATTATATTTGTTTCTTACATATTAATGAAAAAAAAAAAAAAAAAAATGTATTATTTTTTTTTCAACTTGATATAGGATGAAACGAGTAATGAAGGCCTGGTGGTCGACGTGGATGGTCCAGTGTCGGCGGCTGACTTTAGAAATTCTCATTTACCATCTTCGCAATTTGGCGAAGTACCAAAAGTCGCTCGACTGGGTCATCATTTCACCTTTAGCTCAGGCTCTGGAATAAGGATGCGACCAAATGTTCGTGGCACAAGTAAACGTGGGAGACCACGAGGATCCCGTAGAGGTGGCCCCATAGGAGGCAAAGGCAGAGGGATGCTATTGCTCCATCCACCATCTATTAAGAATTCCGTTTCCACTGGTCACCTGTCGCCTTCATCCTCTCCCTCGCACTCTTCTACAATCGCCAACGATTTGAACCCGCAGTATGTTGGTGAGTATCCGCATCTGTTGTTTTTCTTTTTTTTCTTCTTCTTCTTCTTCTTCTTCTTCTATACACTCACCAAAAAAATAAACGGCCATTTAACGCCCTGCGTTCTGCGCAATCCAAACAAGATTTTATCTTTAGTGTTTTTTCCAAAAATATTTATTGACTCGTATCTTCTTTTTTTTTCTCTCTTTATTAGCTGCCCTTTAGTTTTTTTTTTTTTTTTTTTTTATTTTCTTCTGAGGGTACCCACTTGTTTAGTGATTTCTCATATTTACATTCATATCAATGAGAATAATCAAAATTCATTGCATGAATTTCCCATAAAAAAATACAATGATTAGAATTTTCATTTTAAAGAATTTTATTTGATATAATTATTTTTAGAGACGCGTGAATAAATTCTAAAATTTACATTTGACATAATTTCATTATCTAGAATTTTACATTTTACAGAATTTTTATTTCCTCTAATTATTATTAAACGGGAAATTCCATTTAACCAAATTTCTATGTATTACAGAATTTTTAATTACACGAATTTTCAATTTACAAATTTTTTATTTCATTGAATTTGACAAAAATATTATTTATTTGAATTTTTCATTAGACAGAATAGTAATTTATAAGAATTTTTAATTCTACAAAAAGAATATTAGAAAAAAGATATTAGAATGAATTATTTTCTAGCAAAATTTTTATTTGTTTGAATTTACATTTGGCAGAATTTTTAAAACGTCGAATTTACAAAAATTTCATTTGTACAAATAAATATCGGAAAGAAAAATTTGGTCACAAATTTAAAAATTAATTAATCATAATTTATAACTTCTGATTGATTAATTTTAAAATTTGCTTACAAATGTTTCTGGCAGTTATTTATTTGGACAAATAAAAAATTCGGCGTTTTAAAAATTAAAAAAATATAAATTCGAGCAAATGAAAATTTTGCTAGAAAATAATTTTTTTCTAATATATATTTTTTTAATATTCTTTTTGTAAAATAAAAATTCTTTTAAATGCGACTTTTATGTCTAATGAAAATTCAAGCATATAATAATTCTGTCCAATTTAAATTCGATGAAATAAAAATTATTCAAAATGAAAATTTGTTTAGATAACAATTTTTTATAATATAGAAATTTGGTTAAATGGAATCTCTGTTAAATAATAATTCCAAAAAGTAAAAATTCGGCTAAAAAGTAAATTCTAAGTAATGAAATTCTAATGAAAATTCTAATAAATTAATTTTAGAGTTTATTCGTTCGTTTTTTATTTTTAAGACGAATTTTCATTTTTCAAATGAGCATCTAATAGAATTTCTCTTTAAACAAATTTTTACTTAACAAAATTTTTAGGTACTGAATTTTTATTTTACAGAATTTTTGTTACCAAATTTTTATTTTAAAATTGGAAAAATTATAATTTTATAAAATATTAATTTAGCAGAATTCTCATTAAATATAATTTTAAGTGATTCGCAATTTTAAATGACAGAATTTCCAATTCTCTAAAACTTTAATTTGTCCGAATTTTTAGTTGCACAAATTGTTATTTGATAGAACTCTTAAAATACCGAATTTCCATTTTCCGAAATTGCAAATAGCTGACAAATAATTGACAGATAGATTTTGACGCTTTTAAAATAAGCCAATCACAATTTTTTTTAAAAATAATTTGTGAGTATGATAAATTTTAAAAATCGTGTCGAAATCTTTCTGTTGATTGTTTGTCGTCTATTTTAAATTTCAGATAAATGAAAATTGATAACTTAAAATTTTCTTGAATTAGAATTCTGTATAATTAATATTCGGTTAAATTATAATTTATAGAATTAGAATTTTTGAAATAAAAAAATTTGGTGAAAAGAAATTCTGTCAAATAAACATTCGGTACCTAAAAATTTTGTTAAGTTAAAAGTAAAAAAATATTTAAAAAGAAATTCAGTCAAATACTAATTCGAAAAATAAAAATTCGTCTAAAAAATAATTCTATTTAATAAAATTCTTTAAAATGATAATTAAAAAAAAATTATTTTCATGTTAAATTCATGCGCAGATTTTTTTTTTTTTTTTTTTGTTAAGTTTTTGTTACAGATGATTTATTCTTTAGTAATTAAAAATATTGAAATTAAAATATAAAAGTAAATGTAACAAAAATTAAATGCTCACACGTGTACACAAGTAAATTTAAAATACATAATTCCGAAGGGAGTTATAAAATCTTTTTGACATAACAGTTGTTGAATAACGATTGGAAGTCCCTAACGAATTGCGTCAAAAAAAAAAAAAAAAAAAAAAAAGAAAAGGGGACGGCGATAAAAGCGCGAATCGATGGCCTTAATCCTCGCTTGGGACTTTGCTTGACAATCCCCATTGGCACTTGGTCAAGTTCTCATGGGATTTGAAAAAATATATATATATATAGACTCTCTGCGGTGATCCCCAAAATTGTAGTATCGAAATTCCCTCGCGAGCACACATGTGTGCTCAACTGATGCGAACACTTTATACTGCAGTGTTTAACCCTTGGAGACAGAGAGTGGAAAAGAATCGCGAAGGGGATTTTTCACGACAAAACGCCCTGAAAAGCGTTTGTGACTCACTAATCTTTATTAAGGGAGCTTCACGACCCTTTTGTATACAGTAAACTTTTTATGCATTACCCTCACACCCACTGATGTTTTTTAATTCTGTTTGAAGTTTTAATAGCTCTAGGCGAATTGTATTTTGTTTTTTTTTTATTTCTTTTATTTTGTTCTTGTTATTTCAGCTTGTATTTAATTAATTTTTTATGTGTAATTCAATATGTTATATTTAATTCTCTTTATTTTTTATTATCTTTTTTTTTTATAATATGAAAAAGAAGAAAAATTATTTAACTTATTAAAATTTATTTTTCTAAAAAGTAATACAGTGGAACATCGATTATCCGAACTAACCTAGACAGGTCCGGGTTCGGATAATTGAATTATTCGGATAATAGAAATTTCAAATGTTTTTATATATAATTAAAGTAAAACAATGTCACAGTTAAACTATATATACTGAAAAAAAATTTTATTTGATTCTAATACTCAATTACTTGAGTATTATCAAATAAATATTTACTTGAACTAAATAATTTTTATTTGAATTAAATAAATTTGAATTTGAACCAATAATTTCTGTATTTGAATCAAATACCTCATTTAATTGATTCAATTTATAATTATTTGTTACAAATAAATATTTATTTGATAATAGTCAAGTAATCGAGTATTTTAATCAAATAATTTTTTTTCAGTGTATATTTAATTTAATATAATATTTTAAATAGACATAAATATTTATATTAAATTAAATATTGAGTTAAATAATAATTAAGATATAAATACATTAATAAAATAAAAAGACAAAGAAAGTTCGGATAAAATGTTTTACGGTTCGGATAATCGAGGTTTCACTGTATTACAAATGTTTGTTGTCGACAATGAATTATAATACAATATACAGTATAGAGTCTCGATTATCCGAGCTTCGGTTATCCGAGATTCCGTATTATCCGAGGCACCGAAGACGAGGTGCATGCTCGGATAATATGGAAAAACTCGGATAAAACGGATGGAACCGATATGCATTAACAATAATTATACCCAGAAGTTAATCAACGTTCATTAGATTTCAATTTTTATATACATTTGTGATTAATTTTCTTTGTAGCACATTAAATACATAAAAAAATTATTAAAATTTTTGAATTTTAAGTATTTATTCCGTTTTATCCGAGTTTTCGCTTATCCGAGGTGCCTCTTCCCCACATTACCTCGGATAATCGAGATTCTACTGTAAAGTCATAAGAAGTTAAGCAACAAATTATTTTATTTATTTATTTTTACAAGAAAGGTTGCTACATGTCATTTGGAGTTACTCTGTCTATTGTTTCTTAAACACTTGCATTTACTTTATGCACATCCGGTTTTAATTGCACCTTTCGTACCATTGATTTTAATAGTTCGACTTTTTCAATACAATTTTTATACTCATTTAAAATAAAAGCACTATTATCCGACCGTTTTTTTTTTTGAACGCAATTCTTTTAAAATAAAATTAAAACGATCTTTTCACAGTAAACTTGGTTGTATCTTTTTCTATTGCAACGTTTTTAAGTTATATCAAAAAGAGATCGTTTTGTGTATCATTTTTAGAAATGATACACGAAACGGTCTCATTTTTTGATGAAAAAAATTTAATCAATTTATATCAATCATGGCCGAATTGAATCGACTCAAAATTAAACGAATTTTTTTCAGATATTTTGGTAATAGTACAATTGCGGAGACCATTTCACTATTTAATTTGAAAATGAAAATAACAGAAAATCAAAGACAATGTGCAATTCGATAATTAGAAAGTGACAGCTTATAAACATAACCTAAAATGCATGAGAAAAAATTTGTCGATAAAATCAATATAGCCGAGCTTTTTAGAAGGTAGATGGCAGCACTCATCTATTTTTTTTCTTTAAATTTTTTCTGAATCGTTTTTATAAAAAGCAAAACTGCCATCTACCTTCTAAAAAGCTCGGCTATATTGATTTTATCGACAAATTTTTTCTCATGCATTTTAGGTTATGTTTGTAAGCTGTGACTTTTTAATTATCGAATTGCACATTGTCTTTGATTTTCTGTTATTTTCATTTTCAAATTAACCTTTAAACTGATACGTGCCGAAAAATGACACTAACTGATTTCACCGGTCTGTCAGACCGCTATTCCTTTTTTATGTTATTTTATTGATTTTAAATTTTGTAAAGTCAATTGTTGTATATATTCATTGTGTTTTATATTGATCCTTAGATGATAATATTTTTTATTTTTTATGATTAAAAAGTCAATTTCTATATTGTTTCGTTTTAATTTTTTTATTTTTACATAATTTAGAACGCTTTAAAAAAACGCTTTAAAAAAAAGTTATAAGCGATGAAAGTTTTAATAGCGGTCTGTCAGACCGCTAAATCAGTTTAAA